TTCTATAACCAATAAGGGAAAAATAAAAATAGTACCCAAGGGAAATAACTCCCGTTTTTTTTTGCGCTTGCACAAATGGCGTGCATCCTGGCGCAGACTATGAAGGGGAAATAAGAAGAGATGCGCAGGCAATGCATATAAATGTGACACAATGACAGAAGTGGATGTCGTTCGACTTGTTCGAATTCACTGAACGCGACGTGGACGGGGGGCCACGGGAGGCACCGTGGGGACGCTCCACGGGGACATAGTGGGACGTATGGACTGTGCACGGTATTGATTGCCTGCCACCCCCCGGGGGGAGGGGTAGCTGGAGAGGTTTTATGAAAAATATTAGCTCAAAGAGTCGTGGACTACGTTTTGAAATACGAAACACAAAGAGTCATGAAATATATTTTTGAAAATTTTCATTTTTGGTTGGCGCGTGTCTGTGTGAGTGTGTGTGTGGGAGGGGGGTGGGTTAGTATCAAATATGACAGTTATTGATCTTTTGGTTGTTGATCTTTTAGTGCTTTAATGGATGAGGTACGATGAGGTACTATATGAAACGTCACAGAGACGTTCAATGGGCGATGGAAGATCTGCTGGCTTTTGGAAAGTTTTTTTGTGTTTTTTTATTTTTATTTTATGTATGTCCAACTCCCATTACCCCCCCCCCCCCCCACCCTTCACCCCCCCTTCGGCCATTTTTCCTTTACATTGCCAAACGGTACAACTGACGCCTTATAAAAGTGTATAGATCAAGTTTGTTGAGTAGATCCAGTGCAGCAAAGAGCATGGGACTCACGGGTTCGCATTCACATGCACACTCTCTCCCGGTCAACTGTCTTATGGTCTGTCCTGGTCTCTCCTCGGAGAGTCTGTGGCAATTATCTCTTCTGGTCAATTCTCTGAAAGTCTGTCCTGGTCAACTGTCTGCTGTCTGATGGTCTCTCCTGGTCAACTGTCTGTCCTGGTCAACTGTCTGACAGTCTGTCCTGGTCAACTGTCTGTCCTGGTCAACTGTCTGTCCTGGTCAACTGTCTGAAAGTCTGTCCTGGTCAACTGTCTGTCCTGGTCAACTGTCTGTCCTGGTCAACTGTCTGAAAGTCTGTCCTGGTCAACTGTCTGTCCTGGTCAACTGTCTGTCCTGGTCAACTGTCTGAAAGTCTGTCCTGGTCAACTGTCTGTCCTGGTCAACTATCTGTCCTGGTCAACTCTTTGTCCTGGTCAACTGTCTGAAAGTCTGTCCTGGTCAACTGTCTGTCCTGGTCAACTGTCTGTCCTGGTCAACTGTCTGTCCTGGTCAACTGTCTGAAAGTCTGTCCTGGTCAACTGTCTGAAAGTCTGTCCTGGTCAACTGTCTGTCTGGTCAACTCTCTGAAAGTCTGTCCTGGTCAACTGTATGAAAGTCTGTCCTGGTCAACTGTCTGAAAGTCTGTCCTGGTCAACTGTCTGAAAGTCTGTCCTGGTCAACTGTCTGAAAGTCTGTCCTGGTCAACTGTCTGAAAGTCTGTCCTGGTCAACTGTCTGAAAGTCTGTCCTGGTCAACTGTCTGTCCTGGTCAACTGTCTGTCCTGGTCAACTGTCTGTCCTGGTCAACTGTCTGAAAGTCTGTCCTGGTCAACTGTCTGAAAGTCTGTCCTGGTCAACTCTCTGAAAGTCTGTCCTGGTCAACTGTATGTCCTGGTCAACTGTATGTCCTGGTCAACTGTCCTCTGTATGTCCTTAGACGTACCTCCTCCTATCCGCCCACTCAACTCATGACTTCTCTTGACCAATCCCCCGCCCCACCCCCATCGCATACACTGTCCCTGTCCAGGGTAACTATCTCCCCAACTGTTACCCCAACCCTCACCCTAAACACAGGCAAAAACCACCATGTCCTCCCCTCTATGACACAGTAACTCTGCCCCCCCCCCCCCTCTAAATAAGTCTAACCAACCCTGCCCCCCTCCCACCCACAGTAAGTAATGCCCGTCCTGCCGAATCCATCGCATGAAATCGTTGCAAATTGAGTTGCCGTGTTTTTCCGGCTCCGTCCTTGTGTAACACGCCGCGCCGGCCATGTGCACGGCCGGAGGTCGGGTGTCACCATTTGTCATCCGGCAGCGATTTGACAACAAGTCCTCCGGTCTACGGCCTAAATGTCCCCAGCCGGCGGGGCTAATGTGATTTGCTCTACGGCAAACACAAGGGAGGGGTGGGGGTGGGGGGGGGTGGGGGACGGGACCCAATCGATGGACGGTGTTATATTCCTATGATTAGACAACAGGGATGGGTTTCGGTGTAGGGGTGGGGGGGGGGTGGGGGTTGATTTGGGGGGGGGTGTGTATCAGAGAGACCAGAGGTAGAGTTAAATAATGATGAAATAATTGTCTCATGCAGTGCGTTTGATGGGTTATGTGGTGACGGTATTCTAACCAGAGGACTGGGGGTTGGAAGGTAAACAAAGGGAAATCACTCTAAACTAGGTGAAAGTGATCAAATCAAGAGAAAGACATTGAACTCAGGGGAGAGGACTTGGGAAGAAATTGGAAGATTGAGCAAGGGGAATAACTCGGATACAGAAGGACTTGAAGCAAAGGGAAGAAACTGCAGTAGAGGTGCTAGATTAATGGGGAAGAATTTGCAATAGAGGCGCTAGATTAAAAGGGAAGTAAGTAGAATAGTAATTTTATCAGTGAAATAATTTAAATTAAAGGGATAATATAGTTGTTTAGGATGTTATATAAATGGAGCTAGACGTGGAAGTTGAAATTAAAAAAAAAACAGGAGGCGGATGGAAAAACTATCATGTCAGGCAATTGAAATTGCAAGATCTAGAATCGTACATTGGAATAACTAGATCAAGGGAGTGTTAGATTTCGGGGAATGGGGCAGGGGAAGAACGATTCTCTGACCTAGATAATGTTCAGCACATCTAGGAAAAGAGAGAAAACAGTAGAAGCATCAGTAGGCCAGAGAAAAATGTCGCGGCTCTTCTGAAGAGAATATCATATCGTCCTTCTGATTTGTCGTGTTCTTCTCTGATTTGTTGTGTTCTTCTCTGATTTGTCGTGTTCTCTTTTTGTCGTGTTCTCTGATTTGTTTTCCCTAAATTGTCTTTCTCTGATTTTCTGATTTATCTTTCCCTAAATTGTCTTTCTCTGATTTTCTGATTTGTCTTTACCTAAATTGTCTTTCTCTGATTTTCTGATTTGTCTTTCCCTAAATTGTCTTTCTCTGATTTTCTGATTTATCTTTCCCTAAATTGTCTTTCTCTGATTTTCTGATTTGTCTTTACCTAAATTGTCTTTCTCTGATTTTCTGATTCGTCTTTCCCTAAATTGTCTTTCTCTGATTTTCTGATTTGTCTTTCCCTAAATTGTCTTTCTCTAATTTTCTGATTTGTCTTTCCCTAAATTGTCTTTCTCTGATTTTCTGATTTGTCTTTCCCTAAATTGTCTTTCTCTGATTTTCTGATTTGTCTTTCCCTAAATTGTCGTGTTGTTCTCTGATTTGTCGTTCTGATTCATTGTTCTCTGTGTGGACACACAAAAAAGAAACCTTTCCAGCCCATGCAGACAATATCTACGGAGACAGTAAAGTTATTATGTAGCGACTAGGTTATTTAATTTGCTGGATGTCGCTCCGTATTTATCGGTGATGGGTTTTTATGTAGGCATCTAGCTCTGGGTTAGGGGTGGGAGAGGATGGGAGGTAATGAAAGATGGATGCGAATTGATGTAAGGTGGGGGGGGGGGGGGGTGAGGGATGCGTGTTTAAATGAATCTTGAGGTTTTTTGTCTCTTAGGGGGAAAGAGACTTTTGGTGACATCTAGTCGCAAATCACGGAATTTGATTGGTTGATACACGATTCGGGTTATGACCTTAAGTTGGATGTCGTTATTGAATATTAAGGTACAAAACGTTTGGATTACTACGATTGATTAGCGGGGAAAAACTTTTACGATGGTTACATGTTGTTACATGCAACTTCATGTAATTAATGCAATTACGTGTAGTTAGATTTAGTAGACTTACCTCAGGTTCCAGGTTCGGGTGCTAGTTAGTTCTTGGGATATCGGTGCACTTGGAGGGCAGGGAGAGTGGGGGTAGTTACCTCACCTTGTGTGGGTGGACCCTTTTTTAATGGCTGGGTGGGTACCATATGTTGTTGGAGGGGGGGGGGGGGAAGGGAGGTACATAATTTCGGGTACATTAAAGAGGAATGTAACGATCTCATTGCATTCGATGGTCACCGAGAGTAGAAGACACCAGCCATATGTATAACTGGTAACTTTTCTTACGAAAAAAAGGGGAGATAACAAATTTAATTCCCCCCCCCCCCGAAGCACCAAAGAATAAAACCTACTATTTTTATTTTGTTTGTGAAGCCATGACCAATTATGACTATCAAAAGCTTTAGATGCATTAGTCAGATTGTAATGTGTTTTTTTTTTGACAATATGATTTCTTCTTGAGGGCATAGACTCGGATTGTCTCAGGTCAGTCGTGTCATTGCACCCCCCCCCCTCCCCCCACACACATACACCCATGAGTGACCCGCGCCCCGTCTTCTACTTTGTACAAGCAACTCTCCCAGCCCGCCGTTTAAAGCACAATTTCTCCGCCATAAAGGGAATGAAGAAATCCAACTAGCGCGGAGGACAATTTCGTAAAGTGGGTCTACGTTAAGAGTTGCTGTCCCTAACTATTATGTCCCCCCACAATTTCCGTTTCTCTCCTCTTTTTTTTCTCTCTCTCTCTCTTTCTCTCTCTCTCTCTCTTTCTCTCTACACCCCTCTCGTCATTTGTTGACCCAAGCCATATCTCATTGAACATCGCAGATTTGAGTAATTTCCCTTGATTTCACGCCCTTTCCCAATCCACATTTGAGACAGTTGCCTCCCCTTCTCCCCAAAAAACCGTCCTCCTCGCGTCGTCTGTCGAGTTCCAACAACACTTTTTGACTCCCCCTCCCCTTCTCCCCCTCCCTCGTCTCCCATGTCTTCCCGTGGTCTCCGATCTTTCTGAAAATGACGACGCCGGTAAAAAAAAAAAAGAAAAAAAAAATGGCCGCCAGTTTCTAATTTGATTTTCTCCTTGACTGCCAATCAGTGGATGTTGAATGCGAGGCAGCAACAGTCGCCTATCGATGAGGGGATGGGACAGTTATTAGGATTTACAAGGGGAGGGGGGGGGGGAGACTCAATCAGCCGCTGGGACCCCCCGGTCGTCGCCCGTGTCCTTACAGCTCTGCCAAGCAAGGGGGAAGAAATTTGAATGAATTAAGGAATGATTGAATGAATCACTTCCCTTTAACCACAGTTACTCCCCTTTAGGTTGTCGCCGGTGATCAAGGCAAACCACAATTGAGTTTTTTTGGTTCTTTTTTTTTATTCTAGAAGACAAGAACAAAAAATGTCTTTAAGTGTTGGTCGTTTATACTTATTGTAGATGACCATTTAGGCTAGTGTATGGGTTTGGGTAGGATTTAGGAAACAAAAAAAAAATGTCATTAAGTTTGGGTCGCTCTATACCTATTTGTAGATGACCGTTTATTGATGTAACAAAAACAAAATATGTTCCCCGAAAAGGCAATTGTGTTTTTTTTTTCTTTGATTAACCAATTACGCATGTTCCTATTGCTCAGATTGCCGATAATGTTAGCACGACCTTCGTGTTGGAGCTGGAGTTCAGCGTTAAGATCGGAGCTAAGGCTAGTGTATGAGTTTGGGCAGGATTTAGGTAATTAAAAAAAAAGTCATTAAGTGTTAGTCGTTTATACCTATATGTAAATGACCGTTTATTAATGTAACAAAAACACAATGTTTATCGAAAAGCAATTATGTTTTTTTTTCCGATTAGCCATTTACGCATATTCCTATTTCGACCCTTCGTGTTTTAGATAAGCGTCACAATTAGGACTAAGGCTAGTGTATGGATGAGGAAAGGATTTAGGAAAGAAAACAAACATGTCATTAAGTTTTGGGTCGCTTTATACCAATATGTAGATGACCGTTTATTGATGTAAACAAAAAAATATGTTCCCCGAAAAGGCAATTAAGGTATTTTTGTTTTCGATTAGCCATCTATATATATAATTCTCTTCTGGGATCAGTTAGAAAACAAGCTGCAAGCGCGCCTTTGCAGTCCCCTCTCTTCCTCTCTATCACTATCACTATCACTACCACCCCCACCCCACCCCCACATAGTGAGCGGTGTTCACTCTGTTTACATTTTACAATCATAGAGACGGGTTTGGTGACGGCTATTAGGGGCAGATAATTGAGTTTGAAACGATTTTAAACTTAGAGGAGGTAACTAAGAGGAGGCTGCTTTCACGTGGGGGGGGGGGGGGGGGGGGTTAGTGTTTTTAAGCAAATATTTTCAATGGCAGCTTTGGTACTGTCGAATTCACAAATTATAAATTACTGAAAAGTAGAAAAAAAAAACAACTAAATAGCGGCGTATGATACGCAGCGGGTCGGCTCGTTTACACATATTCCTATTGCTCAGATTGCCGATAATGTTAGCACGACCTTTTATGTTGGAACTTGAGTTCAGTGTATGGCTAGTGTATGAGTTTGGGCAGGATTTAGGAAAAAAAAAAAAAAAAATGTCATTAAGTGTTGGTCGCTTTATACCTATATGTAAATGACCATTTAGTGGTGTAACAAAAACAAAATATGTTCCCCGAAAGGCAATTATGTTTTTTTTTTCTTCGATTAACCAATTACGCATATTCGTAATGCTCAGATTACCTATAATGTTAGCACGACCTTCGAGTTGGAGCTTGAGTTCAGATCAGAGCTAAGGCTAGTGTATGAGTTAGGGCAGGATTTAGGAAACAAAACAAAAAAAAAAGTGTCATTAAGTGTTGGGTCGCTTTATACCTATTTGTAAACAAGTATAAATAATGATGTAACAAAAACAAAAATATGTTCCTCGAAAAGGCAGTTATGTTGTTTTTTTCGATTGTTTTTTTCGATTAGCCGTTTACGCATAGTCCTACGTCGACCTTCGTGTTTTAGTTAAGCGTCACAATTAGGACTAAGGCTAGTGGATGGGTTAGGAAATGATTTAGGTAATTAAAAAAATGAAACCAGCTAACGATTTCACAAGTTGCAATGAATGTTGTAGTTGACTTACCGAATCCATATCTACAAAATGTTATATGTTCATCTTTCCCGTTATCACTCACGCCTTATCAGTTATTACTCACAACTAAGTAGAGCCACGGCTAGACCCGAAAGTCTCGAGTTCGAATCTGGGATTAAGTAACTAGAACGCCCCTTAGTACTCTCAGCTGTGATGGGTAATTAACACACGTTAGGGAAAGTAAAGTCTAAGTAAGGATTTTGTTCAGGTTTAGGAAAATATTATCGATATATATATATATATATATATATATATATATATATATATATATATATATATATATATATATATATATATATATATATATATATAGTTGGAATATGTCTTCGACTTCCTGTCTGATGACGTAACCACCGGACATTTGTCATTTGACACCCGATGACGAGTTTTGTCCCACAGTGCCGACTCAGCTGAAATTGAATACCCGGCACTCAACGAGTTGTTTTCTCTGACCACACCCGCGTGGGTTCGAATCCCATTCCGGACAACGACGCGGCTCAGGCTCCTGATAAACAGACCGTTATCTCCAGGGGAGGGGGGTGGGGGGTGGAGGAGGGTTGAGTTAGCCTCTACTCGGCACCTGGTCTGGTTCCCCTGGGGCCTGCTCATCACCTGATACCAGAGCGGGCAGGTAAGTGCTCACCCCGGCGACACGGCGTGCTCTGCATCGTGCACGTCATCAATCGGTATGGGCATCCCGTGTACTACAGCGGTCTGTCTCGGCGGTTTAAAACTCTCTGCCTTGGTTGTTGTTGTTTCTTAGCTCGAAGAATGGGGAAACTTGTATGCATTGACAATATGTTGTCGTACACCTTTCCACTGGCCCACCCCTCCTCTCTTTCAAAATCTCGTATGATACTAAGTCTTGAATTTAAAGTAGATGTATGTTTGTTGTTCATTATAATTCAAGGCTGCCGGTTCATGACAAGTACAATGTAATAATAAATTATTGCGCTTGATTGTTATTTTAATCGGTTGACGGTTATATTGACAGTATATTTTGTTTAGTAATATTGACAGTCCATTGACAGTTTTATGGACAGTCCGTTGACAGTTTTATTGACATTCCATTAACAGTTTTATTGACAGTCTATTGACAGTTTTATTGACATTACATTAACAGATTTATTGACAGTCTATTGACAGTTTTATTGACATTCCATTAACAGTTTTATTGGCAGTCCATTGACAGTTTTATTGACAGTCTATTGACAGTTTTATTTACATTCCATTAACAGTTTTATTGGCATTCCATCGGTCCATTGAAAATTTTGTTGACAGTTCCATTGACAGTCGATTAACACTTTTATTTACGCTTCTATTGGCCGTTCTATTGAAAGTCCGTTGACAGTTGTGTTGTCAGTTCCATGTGATTTTCCCACTGGTCACTATAGCTGAATGCGCAAGCCACCAATGCCCCAGCCCCCAATGCCCCGGCAGCCACCAATGCCCTAGCAGCCACCACTGCCCCAGCCCCCAATACCCCAGCCACCACTGCCCCAGACACATATGCCCCTGCCCCAATGCTCCAACCACCGATGCCCCAGCTATCAATGCCCCAGCCCCAATACCCCAGCCACCAATGCCCCAGACCCAATGCCCCAGCCCCAAATGCCCCAACCACCGATGCCACATCCACCAATGCCCCAGCCACCAATGCCCCAGCCACCAATGCCCCAGCCACCAATGCCCCAGCCCCCAATGCCCCGGCAGCCACCACTGCCCCAGCCCCCAATACCCCAGACCCAATGCCCCTTCCCCAAATGCCCCAGCCATCACTGCCCCAGACACCTATGCTCCTGCCCCAATGCTCCAACCATCGATGCCCCAGCTATCAATTCCCCAGCCCCCAATGCCTAGCAGCCACCACTGCCCCAGCCCCCAAATACCCCAGCCCCAAATGTCCCAACCACCGATGCAACATACACCACTGCCCAGCCACCACTGCCCCATCCACCACTGCCCCTAGCCACCACTGCCCTGGCATGGCCGAGTCGCGAGCCCTCCCATCAATGACACCGTGTCTCATAGACGCCACTCTAATCCATTTGACTGTTCTTCTCGTCCGTGGCGGGGAGACACACCAATATTTGTGTCTTCCATAACTGTCAAATCCCTGGGACGGGGTTTATCTTTTCTAGGGCTGGTTTGTCCCCGTGGCTAATTGCATTGCTGTCCGTGGGGGTGGGGGAGGGATGTGTGTGTGTATGTGTGTGGGGGGGGGGGAGGGGTAAGTCGGGTGGAAATATCGCTAGGGGTGGTGGTGAGTTATCTGTGTGGAGGGGGGAGTATGTGGTTTAGAATGTTCACAAGTGGTGATTTTGTGTGTGGGGGGAGGGAGGGGGGAAGGGAGGGGCTGGAGATAATTATTGGAGGAATATATGGTTTAGATATGTCTACGAGTGGTGGTGTGTGGGGGATTGTGGAGATGTGTGTGTGGGGGGAGGGGAAGTGTGGTTTAGATATGCCTACGAGTGGTGGTTGTGTGTATGTGAGTGTGTGGGGTGTGTGGATATATCTTTGGGTAGGTGTGCGGTTTGTGGTGACGGCGATAGAGTGTGGGTGTGTGGGGTGAGCAGTATGGACACATAGACAGGGTTGGGGTGGCGGGGTTAGAGCGTGTCGTTCATAAAATGTCGATAGGGGAGGGAGGGACTTTGTCGTCTGGAAATTTTAAGGGGGGGGTATATGTCGTTTGTCTACATCGATGGGTTGGGGTAGAAAGATGGAAATATTAGAGGGGGGGGTATATGTCCATTGTCTACATCGATGGAAATATGGGGGGGGGAAGATGATGGGGTGGGGGTAAATGTCCTTTGTCTATATCGATGGGATGCGGTTAGCAAGACGTAAGCTTGTCGTTATGAAAAGCCAGCCGGGTAGGACGGGAATGAGTCAGGATAATCCTGATTGTTTACTCATCTTTCAAAACACATTTTTTTTTTAACTGTCCGGTTCAGGGGCGAGAGAAGGGAGACAAAATACAAAAAAAACTGCTCACGTTAATATTCGTAATGAATATTTTACTTAATTAGATCTCACTCCTCGTTAACGAAGGTTTTTTTTTGTTAATTGCTTGTTACACGGATGAAGACAGGAAAAATGGAACAATCCAACTCGGATGAGAGTAAAAAAAAAAAAAAGAAACAACACAAGAACTACCGAGATAGGAGTGGGTGAGGTATTGTGTTTTAAGTGGACAAGCATCGTTTGGTTTCATTAAGGTTTTAATTAATTAGTGAAAATAAAAACAATGCTTTTTAGTTTTTTTTTTTACGGGGATGTCTCATCCTATCAAATTTTTAAAATTTTTATTTCGCGGTGACAAAGACGCAACCTTTGTTATTATGTTGGTGATGATTATAGGGGGTCACTTTTGGCGAGGATTATTGGGTGTCAATTTTGTTGAGGATTATTGGGTGTCAGTTTTGACAAAGATTATTGAGTGTCACTTTTGGTGAGGATTATTGGGTGTCACTTTTGGGGTGGATTATTGGGTGTCATTTTTGGTGAGGATTATTGGTGTTAATTTTGGTTTAGATTATTGGGTGTCACTTTTGGTGAGGATTATTGGGTGTCACTTTTGGTGAGGATTATTGGGTGTCACTTTTGGTGAGGATTATTGGGTGTCACTTTTGGTGAGGATTATTGGGTGTCACTCTTGGTGTGGATTATTGGGTGTCACTTTTTTGCTGATGATTATTGGGTGTTGGTGTTGTTGGTTACGATTATTGGGTGACAGTTTTGAGGATTATTGGGTGTCACTTTTGGTGAGGATTATTGGGTGTCAATTTTGGTGTGGATTATTGGGTGTCCGTGTTTCGCCTGGAAAGAGTGATTGCCTGGTAAACGACCATTCTCTATTAATAAATCGGTTCGAATTTTCGTCCAAGTCTAAGGAAACAGAACCCCATTCGTAGCCTTTTTACCTGCGTTCCGTCTACTCACCCATAACGGACTACTCGTCATTGGGAAGACGGATAAGATAGTTTCTAATGACTATATCTATTCAATTTTTATAAGCAAATTCTAGCAGATGTTGTGTGTGGGTGTGTGGAAGTGGTGTGTGTGAGGGGGTGGGGAATGAAGATAAATAATATCCCAGCACTTGCTTCACTGCTGTGAATGTTGTGTGTGGGTGTGTGGAAGGGGTGTGTGATGGGGTGGGGACTGAAGATAAATAAGATCCCAGCACTTGCTTCACTGCTGTGAATGTTGTGTGTGGGTGCGTGGAAGGGGTGTGTGAGGGGGTGGGGACTGAAGATAAATAAGATCCCTGCACTGGGTTCACTGCTGTGAATGTTGTGTGTGGGTGCGTGGAAGGGGTGTGTGAGGGGGTGGGGAATGAAGATAAATAAGATCCCTGCACTGGGTTCACTGCTGTGAATGTTGTGTGTGGGTGCGTGGAAGGGGTGTGTGAGGGGATGGGGAATGAAGATAAATAAGATCCTAGCACTTGGTTCACTGCTGTGAATGTTGTGTGTGGGTGTGTGGAAGGGGGTGTGTGAGGGGGTGGGGAATGAAGATAAATAAGATCCCAGCACTTGGTTCACTGCTGTGAATGTTGTGCCAGAAAAGATTGTGATGGTCTGGCCACATGCACAACCAACCGGAAGTGATTGCCCGGCTCCCATTTATATGTTGTGTTTTTGTGTGTGAAGGGGCGTGTCTGTATCTAGATGTACCTGTTTGTATCAGGGTCTTATCGCTCCATTGTCGGCTTGTTGGCTGTCGGCTGTTTATCTGTCTCGTGGTGGTTAACAATTCTGTTCACTTTTTCAGATGTGTCTCTGTTAACAATTCTGTTCACTTTTTCTGTTATTTCACTGTTAACAATTCTGTTCACTTTTTCTGATGTATCTCTGTTAACAATTCTGTTCACTTTTTCTGTTATTTCACTGTTAACAATTCTGTTCACTTTTTCTGATGTATCTCTGTTAACAATTGTGTTAACACTTTTCTGATATTTCACTGTTAGCTATTGTGTTAACTTTTTCTGATCTGTCTCTCTGTTAGCAATTGTGTTCACTTTTTGTAATGTGTCTCTGTTAACAATTGGTTCCCTGTTAACAATTGTGTTTCCTTTTTTGTATGTTTCACTCTTAACCTTTTTGGATTTAACAACTCCGCTTGCTTAACTCTTTCACTGTAGTGTTAACAACTATGTTTATTAATGGTTCACTGCAAACAATTGTGTCAAGTTGACTGTTAACAATTATGTTAACTTTACCCTTTCAGGCTCGCAGTGATGTGAACAAGGAAAAACACCTTGAGGACACCTTTAGAAAAACTGTAGAGGATGCTGAGAAAGAGAAATATGGTAATGTATATATATATATATATATATATATATATATATATATATATATATATATATATATATATATATATATATATATATATATATATATATATATATATATATATATATATATATATATATATACAGGGTTCGTACGCAGTCTGGAAAGTCTGGAAAAAGTCTTGAATTTAGAAAAGTGAATTTAAGACTTAAAAAAGTCTGGAAAATTGTTAGTTTTTGGGCAGGATTTTTTAAAAGTCTGGAAAAAGTCTGGAATCTAGTTTTAGAAACAAAACTTCGTAGTCCATATTTTCCAACTTAAAAAAAAAAGCTATTTTTAAGTGAATTTACTCCATTTTTTTTCCCCGCGCTATCGCGCGGGTTTACACTGTGCTGTGACGTTTTTTCGCTGGTTCGCAGAAAAAAGACGGATGCTCAGTTACTACGTCATTGGGAGAAGAGGGGAAGGGAGGGAAAAGATATTTTGTGGCACGACTGACCGCGTGAATGTGTTACAAGTACTTAAAATTGTCTTTTAATTAAAGAATGATCGCCATCATGATTGTTAGGCTCTCGATTTTACCCGCTATTTTTTCATCGTTTGAGTTTGCATGCAGGCATTCATAACAAAAAATTATGGGGGAGATGTATGAGTGGTAGTTTAGATATAATGTATCAGTCTGTAAGGCGTCATCCGTTTATGACTTACAACAATTTTTCCGATTTTAGCCCCCCCCCCCTCTTTCCCCAATCCCCCCCCCCCCCCGCCCTCACTTACTTTGGATTAATATTAACATTTATAAGATTAATAAGTCGCAAGGCCTCCTTGGGTTCATACCTGTATTTCTGTTTGCTTCAGCTTAACAAAGAGGTACTATTTTTATTTAGGAGTCGTCCATAAATGACGTCACACTCGGGAAAGTCGGAAGGAGGGTTTTATAAAGTGTGACGAAACGCTCTTGTAATAATGTTAGGGCAGATATAAATACCGTGTTTTATTTACATGGTGCGATGGTTTTTAAAACACCAGCACAGTCGTCTTAATTTTACTTTCTACTCGCAAGATACACGTTTTATGTTTGTTTTAGAATGTAATCACAAAATCTTCCGACCCCTTCCCCCCTCCATGTGTACGTCATAAATGGATGACCCCTTTAATTTTAATTCACCTTCCATTAAACTATTTTTGAAATCTTTGCAAATGCTGACGATTAAAGTTAGACTACCCCGCCTCTCCTTGTAACATCGGTCACTTGTGTGAACTCACCGTGACCCCAAGTGCGTAGTTGGTACTGCTTGGTAAGTAGGGTGGGGGAGGGGGTATAAGTCACAGCACAGTTCATGTTATGACGTATTAAACAGGCATACTGAAGTCTAGACTACAATGACCTCACAGTGACCGCTTCACCATGTCTGTGGGGGGGGGGGGGGGGGGGAGGAGGAGGATACCGGCAATTTTTTTTTTAATTGTAGACCCGTTTCTCAGCTATTACTATAAGCACAAACAGTGAATGATATGCGTTGTTTTTTTTTTTTTTTGCTCCACATTTTTTTTTACAAGTAGCCTATATTTATTTAGGCTACTTAACAAGAGCAGACCTAAATTAATACATTACATTATTATTCTTTAAAGTAATTAACACTCACTATTATGCAATACCATTTTAATGATAGTTCAAATGAAAACATAAGCAATTAGATCAGGAACTGATTACATAAGTCTAATGTTGGAAACAAAATAGTTGCATCATTTTAATCAATTATTTTATTGTTAAAATTTTAGGTAGGGTGGAGTAGACAAACTTAGAAAAAATGATTTTCTGTCAATTTGGCTAGAGAAAGTTCACTATGAATATAGCTCAATTGCCTAAAATAAATGTCAATTTAGTATAAGTAATTATAATGACAGTACAAATAGTGCATCATTTAAAAAAATTATTCCCTAACACATTATCTGTCTAAAGTCTGGAATGTTTCCAAAAAAGTCTGGAAAATGTCTGAAAAAAGTCTGGAATTTCATTTTCAAAAAGCAGTACGAACCCTGTATATATATATATATATATATATATATATATATATATATATATGTACATAAGTGTGGGTAACAAATCAGGGACGGTGTGGCCTAGTGGTAGAGAGCCATACTGCTAACCAGAGAGTCTTGCATTCGAATCTGGGTTCAAATCAGTGGAATGTCCCTTAGTCCACTACCTTTAATGGGTACCTAACTAATGTTAGGGAAACAAAGGTGGCTGGGCATAGTGCTGACCACACTATCACTTTATATGCCAAGGTCTATGAATCAGATGAACTCTACTTCATCTGCCCCATGTGTCTTGGGCACTAACAGGATTAAGAAGAGAAGAAGATGTGTAACAATTCAACATACATTAGGTATCTACATTACCAAAACTATAATAAACAAAACATACATACTAATTGAACAACCAGGCTGTCTAACATATGCCACACAGGTCAAAGGTGAACAAATAGAAAATTTAAAAATTTAAGATTGTTTTACAATACTTCTGAGAGTTTCTGCGGTCAGCTGCCTCTTTATCTTGAAAATTTATGCCAGGAATGATTTAGAGCTGAGTTAGCTCAAGGAAATAAAGAAATTATATTTGTAATATTATTTTAAAGTTATATATATCATATGATATACAATTATAATTTTTTTCAGAATTTAGACTTGGGTTTAAAAATAGCCTGATCATGTGATGTCATGTATGTATCTTGTCAGATGATTTGATAAACCAATTTTTTTTCTCCAGATCTTGGTAGAAAGATATCAAGACTGACCTCTGAACTTGAGATCTCCAAGTCTGAAAAATCTCATGCAGTTAACAGGCAGAAAGTTCTGGAAGAAAGAATCAGAGTAAGATTTTTTTCTTTTTGTTTTTGTAGCTTGGGTCATTGTATATAGAACAATATGAATATCTTTTGTTTTATGTGTAAACTGTTGGTCTGATTTTTCTTGTTTTTTAGCAGTGTAAGCGTATTTACTAACCCATGATACATATGGTATAACTCAGACCTGCTCATATTCATACAAAAGTATTATGATGAATACACATTTGTATTGTATTTTTAAGACTTTAGAGAAAGAGGTGACAGACAAAATGGTGAAATTTCAAGATCTTGTAAGGGAGGTAATAAAATTTTATAGTTATTTAATATTATTACAATGGCCAACATGGCTGGCAAAACAAATTTTACATAGCATTTTTTTTTCAAAGATGGATATTAAATTTTTAATAACTAAATTATACTTTGGCATTTCAAGTTGTGCATTTTTGTATATAACATACATAATTTCATATAGTCAACATTAATGTTTGGTCATTAAAATGATTTTTTTTATCTTCACCAGATTGAGGATTCATCTGCTAGATTGGCACACTATGAATCTCAAAATTCACAACAGCGCAGAGATTTAGATTTCAAGAACCAGGAACTTGAAAATATTAGGTAATTTTTAACATTCTGCCTGGAAAAATTTGAACAAACAATATAAGGCAGAATAATTATCCTTCTTATGGCAATTTTAAAATTACTAAATAGGAAATTTTAACAAATAATTGTAGAAAACAAAAGGAAATGCTGTTTAAGTTATACCACAATTGAGAAATTTAATTTGACACATATTTCATCAGTTTTAAAACTGAATGACTGTTGCATAAGGTGATGTTAAAATAACAATTGAATTATAAGCTGTGTGTTTACAGAAAGGGATTAGTGTTGAAATAATTGAATAATAGACATTGTGCTTACATAAAGTTATTGGTCTTGAAATATCATGAATGATGATTTTTGTGTCTATAGAAAGGGATTAGTGCTAAATAATTGAATGATAAACTGTGTTTACAGAAAGCAATTGGTCTTGAAATAACATGAATGATGATCTTTGTGTTTACAGAAAGGAATTGGTCTTGAAATAACATGAATGATGATCTTTGTGTTTACAGAAAGAAATTGGTCTTGAAATAACATGAATGATGATCTTTGTGTTTACAGAAAGCAATTGGTCTTGAAATAACATGAATGATTATCTTTGTGTTTACATAAAGCTATTGGTCTTGAAATAACATGAATGATGATCTTTGTGTTTACAGAAAGCAATTGGTCTTGAAATAACATGAATGATAATCTTTGTGTTTACAGAAAGGAACTGAAGGAGCTTTGGATGACACACAACCAGCTGACCGAGCACTCTGGTCAACAAGCTGACCTCATACGGCAGCTTCAGTCTCTACAGCAGGACACACAGAAAAGTAGGTGGTGGGGGGTCAATTGTGTGTGTACACAGGATGGTTGTGTGTACAGGATGGTTGTGTACATAGGGTGGTTGTGTACACAGGGTAGCTGTTAACATAGTTTAACTGTACACATAATAGTTGTGCACAAAGGATAACTGTATATAGTTAAGTTGTGTACACATGATAGTCGTGTAAAGGATAGCTGTGTACAAAGGATAGTTATGTAGATAAGGTAGTTTAATACAAATTTTAGTTGTGTACATGTGATAGTTGTGTACACAGGGTGGTTGTGTACATAGGATAGTTGTATACACTGTCGTGTAAAGTGGTTCAACTCTCGTGAAAATAGAGAAAACAACCAAGCATAGCATTACAAATAAACAGCATTTTTACATGGTTGCTAAAAATGTTTTTAATATCAAATACAGATTAATGTTGATTTCTAAATTTGGTGCCCCTCAAAACATAGAATTCAATTATTTAATATTATGTAAAATACTGTGCCAAATTAAAATAAAAAGCCTTACAAATTTAATACTGCTTCATGTATCTATATTTTATTCCAATTGAAGAAGAAATGGTTTAATTTATTTTTTAATTATATTTATTTCAGTGATGAAGAACCAAGAAGATGCCTTTACACTAGAGAGCACTTCCTTACAGCAGGTATCACATTTGTTGTTTTAATAGCCAGCAGTCATCATATTTGTTGTGTCTTTAGCCACGCATCACCATATTTATTGTGCCTATACTATAGCCGTAACTACACTAGTTTATTTAAATATTTGTGACCTATTCTTAACCTGTGAACAATTTTAAATTGACCACAACTTACACACATGTACTTGACAATGTGTTTTAAATGTCCTGACCTTGACCTGATTCCAGATGTTTACAGACGTCAATGCCAGGTACGAGCAAGCCAAGAGGACAGAGGCTGACCTGAGGCAACAGGTTCTGGAACTAAAGAAGGTGGGGGGTGATAAATAAGTGTCTGTTATGTTTTAAAATCATTGATTGGGGTATGTAAAGAAACATTCTCTAACTTTAAAAAACAAAACAAGTTAATATTTATCCTAAAAGATGTGAGGTTTTGTACATATGTAAAAAGGGAATTAAAAATGATTTCTTTTAGAGTCTTATGGACAAAGATGATGTCATATCTACACTGAACTCACAAGAACTGACCAGTCGACAAGCTGAAAATAGGAACTCATCTACAAGACAACCTGAGTATGGGGGCAGTTTCCTGGACATTGTGCAGGTACAAGTTAGGTGGATGTGGATGGGGCATCAGGGGATGGGATAATGACAATAGACAGATAGTTTGACTATGTGATAATATTATGTATGCAATGATTGATTCTACTTTCTGGCTTAAAACCAATTGCTGGTGCTGGCTGTTGCTGAATAAGATTTTGTCTGTGATTGAAATTGGAACATACTACAGACTTTTTTTTCCTCAATGACAGATACCTGCAGACTAGATGTAGACTGCTTTGTTTAGATCTTGCTAAGCTTTTTAAATCTTAATTTTAACATAATTCTTTGCAACCCTATTGCCATGGCTTCAATTGTTTTTTTTAAAGTAATGTGAATGAATGAATTTAATTTTTTGCTGAAAAAAGTTACTCTTAATCCACCATATTATTTTATTTAAAATGAAGGGTAATGTTTTATTTCTTTAAAAATTCCAGGAAGTTGATGCAATCAATGGAGCTGCTACTCCTAGGTCCAGGACTAGAGGGAGGTAACTCAGGAATATAAAGAATAATTACTTCCCTTTTTACTACAATTTTTTTTTTTTTTTTTTTAAATTAAAAAAAAACAAAACAACCCACTAAACATATATGATATCAAGGACTAATAACAGCAAGGACTTACACAAATATCTGTATGAAATAACTAACACACATTAAATCTGAGCAGGTCATTGAACAGAAGTCAAGACCTGGAAGGGAAAGTCCCAGGCAGTCACTGTGTATTGAGGCCAAGGTCACTGTCTCCTCCCACTCAAGATGTGGAACCCAGGCTGGAGTTGTTTGATGTGAGAAAAGTCGAGCAGCTGCAAAAGGAATTATCCTTAAAGGTAAAACAGCAACAGAGGGCAAACATTTTTTTTTATTAACTCCATGCAGAAACTGTCATATAACTAGAATCACTTATATTTATACCACTCAGTAAAGGTACAACTAGCATAACTTTACACACGAGAATTGTTATTTCATAGCTGTGGCTAAGGTGAATAATAAAAAGTTTTAATACCCTCTCCTACATAAAATAAAGAAACAATAAAAATAACACATCAAGGTAATTGGATATTTAAAAATTTATTTAAGTTAAAAAAAAATTTGATCAGTACAATCAAAATTTTTGTTTTGTTTTAAATTTCAGACGCGTCAGTTGGAAGAGATAAGAAAGGCACATGACAACAGGATAAAGAGATATGAGAACCTTCAGGCTAGCTACCGTCTGGCCAGGGAAGAAATGAAGGCTTTAGAGTTTGGCAGGTTGGTCAACTCTTGACTGTCTTTTTGTTCACAACTTATATTGTAATTTATTCTGGTTTAAAACCACTTTTTAATCAACTCATTTACACTTTCTAAAACTACAATTTTTAAAAATCACTTTTACTTATAATTTCTTTTTTAAAAATAAATTTTAACTGGTTTTTTTTTTGCACTTTTTAAAATTCACTTTAAAATAATTTTAACATTTGAAATCCATATTAAAAAATTATTAATAAAATAATATACAATCTTTAAAATATAAATTTTGCTTATAATTTTGAAATACGTTTTTATAAATTATTTGCCTATTAAAATCAGTTTTGTAAACTTTTAATTAAAACTTTTAAACACCAGTTTCTCTACAAACAATTTACGCATGTACAAAATAAACATTTACAAGTCATTTAAAAAATGAGTAAGCCCCAGTGTAATGCTACTTTCAACATGAACGTTTTGGCTTTGTATTCTTTCAGTAAACCAAAAGCTAAGAAAATTAAACGAGCTGATCCCAGGTCACTTCAGAAAGAAAACAGTGATGCCGTGTGGAATGAGCTGACCTACTTTAAGAATGAGAACAGGAGCTTGCAAGTGGACAAGTTCGTTACATTTAATTACCTAGCAATAATTAACATGTTGTTTACATTTGTCTTTAATCTTGTGTAACTGTTTAGTAATAATAAATCATCATTATCATTATTCATGTGGACCCCTTGTGAATGAGTAATTACTAAAGTTTTTCATTGTAACAGAATATCAGTGCCTTACTAAAATATGGCAATGAAAATTGATAACTTGCCTCAACCCTAGTTCTTCTGAGTCTTCATCATTGCTGCATAATTTTTAATTAAAAAAAATATTTTAAATACTCACAAAATTTTAATGAGGATTATAAAGCACATTTTGTGCAACTCTATAAAAATGCTTAGTAGTTGTAAAAAATTCAGTGTAGATACTAAGTTTATTTTGAAATTTTTATATATTTAAGGTTATTATTTAACTAAAAATGTATTATATTAAAATAAATGTGTTACCTCCCTTAGACTGTCACTCCAAGAGGAAGTAGACCTACTGAGGGTGCAGACAGCCCAGGATGATGCCACCATACATGAACTTAAGGTGGCTCTACAGGGACAGAAAGAAGGTACACCATCTTATTAACAGCTAGAGCATGCATGTAGTCACAAGAACGACTTGGTTGAGGGGTAGAACACATAACTGTTAACCAGAATATCTCATGTTCGGATCTTGGTCGGTAAGAATGTAAGAAGTCTCTGAGTCCAAACAGCTCTGATGGGCACCTGACCCATATTTAAGTAAAGTAAAGTTTCCCTTTCAAACCTGACGGTCTATGGGGTAAGTGAAGTAGAGTTCACTTGTTTCTCTGACCTTGGCATATGAAGAGATAGTGTGGTCAGCACTGTGCCCAGCCACCTTTACTTTCCCTAACGTGAGTTAGGTATCCATCAGAGTTGGGTGGACTCAAGGACGGTCTTCTGACTAGAACGCGGATTCGAACTCGAGACTTACGGGTTAGCAGTCCAGCTCTCTACCGCAAGACCACTCCGTCCCATTGACTCATATTTGGTTATCTAAATATCGCTGGGCAGAGTATTGACCACACCAATCCCTTATATGATGAGGTCAAGAAACATATGAACTTTACTTTATCTGCTCTATGGATAGTTAGGTCTGAAAGGGGGGCTTCACTACTTTACTCACATGTAGTCATGATATCATTTGATGTAGACAGAGGGACTTGACTATCTGTAGGTACAAAGAGAAGTGAAGCTAGTAAAGGTGAGACTTGGGTTGTTAAGCCATGCCCGAGATATTTGTTTACAAAAATGTAAAGAAATCTAACAGACAAAATAATTAATATTTTCAAATTATAGACTTTGAGTTCCAACTTAGGAGACAAACCAGAGAAAACAGGAATCTTCTAGAAACAGAAAAACAGGTGTCTTTGCTGAAATCTCAGGTATCTTAATAATGCTAATTTAAATGAAAATAAAGTTCTTTATTAAAATTAAAAAAAATTAAAATATATTTATACTTAAAATGTTAACCCTAGGTCTTTATCTTTGCTATATAAATATAAATTTTAAAAAATATTTTATACTCTCAAAGTTATAAGTCCATTAAAATTCTTTGTAAATGTAAAAATTCAGTACAGATTCTAAGTTTATTTTTAAATTTTTTTCTTTCACTCATTCAAATGTAAAAATTTATTATCCCTTATAGATTTCATCACCTATAATATTTTAAACCTCTATCTTTTGATTTTTATATTCACTACATCTTATTTGTATTATTACTTTTGTGATCAGGTTCAGAATAAATCTGTTCTTGTAGAGAAACTAGAAAGAGATTTGCTAAACTCTGTTGCCCAGCGTGACGATCTGGTGCAGGAGAAAAGGTAGATCTAAAATAATTTTGTTAAAATTATATTTTATACATAATTTGATTAATTGGTTTTGTCTTAATATATGAACTTAAAAAACTAGTATTAATAATTAAAATATTAATTTATGAATTTATGACTGTAGTTCTATTTTTATGTAAAAAGTAGTAGTAACTTTTTCTGTTTATGTTCTTAGCTTTATTTTTTAAAGAAAAGAATATTGTGAGATCTGTCTGTACAAAATTCTTGTTTACAATGATTTGTACCATAAACCATTTTTTTTACTGTGACCAGCTAACTCCTAAATACTTGACTCATGTTAAGGAAACAATGGCTGCTGGGCATACTATCTCCTTGTATGCTGAGGTCATTGAAACAAATGGACTCTACTTCATCTGCCCTATGTGTCTAGGGCACGAATTGATAAAGATGATGAGTTAACTCCTAATCCTACTTAGTTTTACTGTAAACCATTTATTTTACTGTCCACAGTAAACTAATATCCTTGCTTGTTTTACTGTAAACCATTATTTTATTGTCCCCAGCCCCAGTAAACTGCTGATCCCACTTAGTTTTACTGTAAACCATTTATTTTACTATCCCCAATAAACTCATCATCCCAATGAGTTTATTTGTAAACCATTTATTTTCCTGTCCCCAGTAAACTAATATCCTAGCTGGTTTTACTGTAAACCATTTATTTTACTGCCCTCAGTAAACTCATGTCCCAGCTGGTTTTACTGTAAACCATTTATTTTCCTGTCCCCAGTAAACTTCTGATCCCTCTTAGTTTTACTGTAAACCATTTATTTTCCTGTCCCCAGTAAACTTCTGATCCCTCTTAGTTTTACTGTAAACCATTTATTTTCCTGTCCCCAGTAAACTGATGTCTCAGCTGGTGAATGTCCAGCAGGATGCCTCCACCTACAGGATGGAACTGGCTGATGTCAAACACAAGCTACAGAGGTATGTTATCCTATTTAAGGACATCTTGTGTAGCTTTTTGTTGAATATGTGCCATATTCAAGGTAAGGTACACAGACATGTGGGTTCTATTGAAGTGTAACCTTTTGTTAAATATGTGCCGTATTCAGGGTAAGGTACACATACAAGTGGGTTCTATTTAAGGACATCTAGTGTAAGTTTTTGTTGAATATGTGCTGTATTCTGCGTAAGGTACACGTACATGTGGGTTCTATTGAAGGACATCTTGTGTAGCTTTTTGTTGAATATGTGCCGTATTCAGGGTAAGGTACACGTACATGTGGGTTCTATTGAAGGAAATCTTTTGTAGCTTTTTGTTGAACATGTGCCATATTCAGGGTAATGTACACGTACATGTGGGTTCTATTGAAGGACATCTTGTGTAACTTTTTGTTGAATATGTGCCATATTCAGAGTAAGGTACACGTACATGTGGGTTCTATTGAAGGACATCTAGTGTAACTTTTTGTTGAATACGTGCCGTATTCAGGGTAAGGTACACAGACATGTTGTTGTCTATAGGGACATTTAAAACGGAGTGGCCTAGTGGTAGTGCACTAGACTTCTAGCCTGAAAGTCTTGAGTTTGAATCCGGGTTCAAGTCAGTAGACCGTCCCTGAGTCCATCCAGCTCTGATGGGTACCTAACTCGCGTTAGGGAAAGTAAAAGCGGCTGGGCATAGTGCTGACCACACTATCTCTTCATATGCTGAGGTCACTGAAACAGTTGAACTCTACTTCGCTTGCTCCATAAACTGTCAGATTTGAAAGTGTACTTTACTTTACTTACATTAACTTTGTACCACATCTAGTTACTTTCATTGTGACAGAAATATTGTCTATTTGAAACTAATTAGTATACTACATGTTTCTGTGTTTAGTGCAAACCGCAAGCTTGAAGAGTTGGAGCAAGAAATGGCCGCCAGCCACACCATGAAGAGAAGCACATTGGATGAAGACTCCTCTGCTTTAGCCAGCTCTGTTGTTGCCAGTTTGGCTGTGAAGAGAAAATCAAGAGAGGCGTCACCTACAAAGGTTTTTATTTTTTTAAAGTGTAATTTTGTCCTCAGCAGGTATAGGGTGACTGGAAAAACTTGCAAGGGAAAACTGAACATGAAAAACTGCACAAAAAAGTGTGCAAGGGCATTTTTAGCTTTTGTAAATTGAGCATTTATAGAAACTGGCTAACAATCACCACATGTATATTATAGCACATAAAAAAAATATGATGAAATTGATGTGTATTAGCAAAATTAATTTTGTATTTGCGCATTCTTCTGTTTGCGCAGTTTTTTTTGGGAACCCAGGTATAGATATAAGCATTACTTACCAAACCTCATTAAGTGAGGGGAAAAAGGGGGGTGTGTAGCCTGAATAGTTTTGATGTTACAGGATGAACAGCTTCAATAAAGTACCTTTTTTTGTGATAACATTGCACACTCTAACATTTTGCAGTACAAAAATGACGGGGTCACCCCACTTTACAATGATGAAGAATGGGAAGAGGTTGAAAGTGAAAGGTCAGAAGTCATTTGTAAACCTTGCTAAGGCTAGTTTAAATTTTCAGTATATATATATATAAAAAAAAAACCAGTGTTAAAAATTTAATTACAGCTCAATCATTTGTTAATGCTCATGAAATAATTGCTTGAACACATTATTTCATTGTGTAGTGAACAGGAGACTGGATCGGCTGATCTGAACCAAACTTTGAGATTTTCGGCCAGAAAGTCTAAAAAACCTGCCCAAGTTGGTGACGATCAGAAAAAGAAAAACAAGGTAAAATAAGAAGCTAGGCTAAATATAGTGTTTGGTATTTTATTTTGCATTTTAATAGGATGTAAAATTAAATGTAAATTTGGAATTGATTTTTAAAAGCAGTTAGATAAAACAAAATACTGGGACCATGTGGTCGAATAGCGTTTGACTGCTAGATTGAAAGTTTGGATCTCAATTTGAACTTGTGACTGCAGGATGTCCCTGAGTCCACTCAGCTCTGATGGGTACCTGACTTACGTTGGAGAAAAAAGGCAACTGGGTGTAGTGCTGACTTTAACATCCCTTCTTATGCCAAGGTCGAGAAACATATGAACTCTACTTTACCTGCTAAATGTATTGCTAGGTCTTAAGAGCAATCTTTACTTAGATGATTAAAATTGATTTGTTTTTTTTAAATATGTATTATGTTTTATCAAATTTTATTATGTATACAATTTTTTTTGTTCCTTAGTCTCATCGAGTCCCCACCCATCGCCCCCCTGCCCAGTGTTCAGACCAAAGTACCTCACCAGAGAGGCTGACCACCCATAGGTCCAGGTCTACTAGCCGTGTCACAGAGGGCCATGGTATGTTAGAATTCACATTGAATTCTTTTCTCAAACATCACACGTAGGCAAGTTTTGTGGGCAGTTTTTTGTTAGTCATTGAGAATTAAATTAAATGAATCTACCAGCTGTGTCACAGAGGGCCATGGTATGTTAGAATTCTCATTGAATTCTTTTCTCAAACATCACATGCAGGCAAGTTTTGTGGGTGGTGTTTTGTTAGTCAGTGAGAAATAAATTAAATGAATCTATCAGCTGTGTTACAGAGGGCCACGGTAGGTTAGAATTCTCATTGAATTCTTTTCTCAAACATCACATGTAGGCAGGTTCTGTGGGCAGTTTTTTGTTAGTCAGTGAGAAACAAATTACATATATGAAAATAATTAAACTTGTCCTTTACATGGTAATCTCCAAGCTAATTTTGCTAGAATACCTTAACCGTAGCCATAATCCTAATCATAATCATGATACCATCCTTGATACCTAACTTAAGTCTGATGTCAATAGCAATGCTGATAGGACAAAACAATTTATTTTTCACTGCTGACATTTGTATAAGAGCAGAAAAATAATTTACTTACAACTTTACCTATTGCACAAGCAATATACATGTTAATATGATTCTGTTTATTTTTCTGTGTTAATATAAGATTTATTAAAAACTTACTTCCAACTTTTAAAAATTTGATGAAGATCTTCTTAAAAATGACTATAACATTTAAAAACTGAGGTCTTTTTTAATATTATGTTTTAGTGGGTATAGGAAAATTCGTCATCGCCAACCTAAAATTTGTATATTCATATATTCAATGTAGATTTGCTTTAAAATGACCTTTGACATCTTTTCCAGTGGGTAGAAGAGAATTCGCCACCTCCCCCATCTCCTTCCTCTCCCCCACCCTGAGGCCATCAAGAACGCAAGCAGCCAACCCACAACATCCGCCAACCCTCCACCACGCCAGCTATGCTGTGGCTGCCAACCGCAGGGCTAAGAGAGCTGTGGAGTCCAGACAAATGGCCACCCTGAAACAACGCATCACACATCTGGTGACCCAGGTGACCGTGTTGAAGAATGCTAAGATGCTGGCGGTGCAGGCGGAGGAGACCCTGCAGGAAACTGTTTCCAGACTACAGAGTGACTTAGTTTCCATGTCCGGGAGACTGAAGGCATCAAAACAACTTGCTCAAGTTTGTAGAAATTAACATTTTTCTTTAATTTTTTAACTATTAAAAAAAAAAAATTCTTTAAGGGGAGATAATCAGAACAATTTGCTCTAGTTTTTAGCCAGAATCATTCATAATTTCATTTTTGGAGATTTTCTGTAATTATTTTTTGAAAATGATTATTTTTAACTGAACTAATCGAAATAGCTTGCTCAGTATCTATTTCTTTATTCTTTTCTATATTTTATTTAAAAGATTTGTTTTTAAAAAGTGATAAGAAAGTGTTTGAAGAGTTTTGTATCTTTCCTGGAAATAAATAGACCTAATTGTTAATGTGGGCTGTTCTCCTGATTTTTATCTAAACCTGACAGTATTTGGGGAGGGAAGATTAAGTTGTGTCACTTAGTCTAGAAGCAATAGAAAAATGTGTCTACACAAATAAAGCAGCCATACTGCATTGTGTGAAGAAAACTTTATGTCAATACATCAAGCTGTATCAGGGAATGGCTAGCCTGAAATCTTCAGTTGTGTTTCCTTTGTCTTTTCTTAAATATCACTGGAGCTGACTCAGCTCTAGTGAGTACCTCAACTACATTGGGTAAAGTCATATGAGTTTTACCAGGTACACACACACCTCAAAAAAAAAACAACAACAAATGAGCTGATAAGTATTAGTTTAGTGATCCAAAACTTAACAAAAATTTCATAGTTAAGGGAAATGTGTTTGCAAGAGAAACCTTGAAATGACAGCAAAACTATGAAAAACTTGATTGTATGATTTCCATGCACAGAAACTTCAAACCGACTTAGAGAAACTACAGAAGGAGAAACAGGCTGTGGAAGAACAGCTGACAGCAGAAAAAAAAGACACAAAGTCAGACAATGATGGGCACGAGATGAAAGTTCTGGAAGCCAAACTTAAAGTAAGGATTTGTTTTTAATTAATTTAAAGGCAGTAGGTTAGCAAAGTTACAGTAGAGATTTGTTTTTAACTAATTAAATGGCAGTAGGTTAGCAAAGTTACAGTAGAGATTTGTTTTTAACTAATTAAATGGCAGTAGGTTAGCAAACTTAAAGTAGGGATTTGTTTTTAACTAATTAAATGGCAGTAGGTTAGCAAACTTAAAGTAAAGTTTGCTTTTAATTAATTTAAAGGCAGTAGGTTGGCAAACTTAAAGTAGGGATTTGTTTTTAATTAATTTAAAGGCAATAGGTTAACAAACTTAAAGTAAGGTTTGCTTTTAATTAATTTAAAGGCAGTAGGTTAGCAAACTTAAAGTAGGGGTTTGTTTTTAATTAATTTAAAGGCAGTAGGTTAGCAAACTTAAAGTAGGGATTTGTTTTTAATTAATTTAAAGGCAGTAGGTTAGTAAATTGACATCTAAGAAGTCAGTTGAGATAAACAAAAAATGTAGAAAATATTAGTAGCGTAGGCAGCTAGGTGGAATAGGGGTTCGAAAAATTATGTTGTATTTCTATGTGAGCATTGTGGAAACATTTTAAAAGATATTTCCCCTCCCCCCTCCTTTCTCCACCACCACCCCCACATAAAATAAGAAATCTTGCCACAGATTAGTACTAGACCCTAACTTCTTTTATTTAATCAAGCACTGTGTTTCAGGATTTTTATTATGCTTGTGTTCTAGGAAATTGGTGATGGTTGTGTTTGAAGAAATTTGTGATGATTATGTTTTAAGAAATTTGTGATGGTTATGTTTTAAGAAATTTGTGATGATTATGTTTTAAGAAATTTGTGATGGTTGTGTTTTAAGAAATTTGTGATGGTTGTGTTTTAAGAAATTTGTGGTGGTTGTGTTTTTTTTTAAATTGGTGGTGGTTGTGTTTTAAGAAATTTGTGATGGTTGTGTTTTAAGAAATTTGTGATGGTTGTGTTTTAAGAAATTTGTGATGGTTGTGTTTTAAGAAATTTGTGGTGGTTGTGTTTTTTTTTTAAATTGGTGGTGGTTGTGTTTTAAGATATTTGTGATGGTTGTGTTTTAAGAAATTTGTGATGGTTGTGTTTTAAGAAATTTGTGATGGTTGTGTTTTAAGAAATGTGTGATAGTTGTGTTTTAAGAAATTTGTGATGGTTGTGTTTTAAGAAATTTGTGATGGTTGTGTTTTAAGAAATGTGTGATAGTTGTGTTTTAGGGAATTGATTGTGGTTGTGCTTTAAATTTTTTTTTATGGTTGTGATTTAAGAAATTTGTGGTGGTTGTGTTTCAGGTTGCTGCTAGTGAGGCCTCCCGCCAATCTTCTGCCATGAAAACCCTAAAAACAGACAATGACAGTCTGCAGGATCAGATCAGAACTCTCCAAGAAAAGTCAGCATTTTTTTTAATTTTTGTTTTACAACTTGGCCTTAAATTTTGATACCACTTATCTTGGGTTTAATAAGAAAGTTTATGAGATTCAAAAGGTAATGTGAGTAGGTTGAAAATTATTTTCCTTTGTTTGGCTAACGTTGACCTTGAACTGACCAGGGTCAACCACCTGGAGAGAGACAACAACCAGAAGAGGGTGCTGCTGGAGAGCCAGAAGGTCAAGCTTAAACATGTGCAGGAGGTCAGCAAGTCTGAGGCGGATAATGTGGTGGGTGGTTCACATCTTTAGGGTTCACTGGGGGAGTGGTTCACATCTTTGGGGTTCATTAGGGTGGGTGGTTCACATTGTTTGTGGGGTTCACTGGGGTGGGTGGTTCACATTGTGGGGTTCACTGGGGTGGGTGGTTCACATTGTTTGTGGGGTTCACTGGAGTGGGTGGTTCACAGTGTGGGGTTCACTGGGGTGGGTGGTTCACATTGTGGGGTTCACTGGAGTGGGTGGTTCACATTGTTTGTGGGGTTCACTGGGGGAGTGGTTCACATTTTTGGGGTTTACTGGGGTGGGTGGTTCACATCTTTAGGGTTCACTGGGGGAGTGGTTCACATCTTTGGGGTTCATTAGGGTGGGTGGTTCACATTGTTTGTGGGGTTCACTGGGGTGAGTGGTTCACATTGTGGGGTTCACTGGGGTGGGTGGTTCACATTGTTTGTGGGGTTCACTGGGGTGGGTGGTTCACATTGTGGGGTTCACTGGGGTGGGTGGTTCACATTGTGGGGTTCATTGGAGTGGGTGGTTCACATTGTTTGTGGGGTTCACTGGGGGAGTGGTTCACATTTTTGGGGTTTACTGGGGTGGGTGGTTTATGGGTAGGTGGTTCACATCCTTGGGGTTCAATGGGGTGCATGATTCACACCTTTGGGGTTCAGTGGGATGGGTAGTTCACATCTTTGGGGTTCAATGGGGTGCATGGTTCATATCTTTAGTGTTCAGTTAGGATGGGTGGTTCAGATCTTTGTCATGTTTCATGATTTTTTTTGGTGATGTGCACCACAACATAATGTAATGGCAATTATTATGTGGCAGTTATATTACTATAATTTTTGAGGTATGAATTATTTTTGTAATACTTGTATCAATATAACTTTGATGCTTGTGATACATACAGGAGGAACTAGAGACAAAGATCAAGTTGTTGACTGACACCAACAATAAGAATAAAGTTCAGGTGAGGTAATACACAGGTGTGGTGGAGGGTGGGGTTGTTGGGGGGGGGGGGGGTCTTGAGACAAAGGTCAAATTGTTGACTGATACCAACAATAAGAATAAAGTTCAGGTGAGGTAACACACAAGTGTGGTGGAGGGTGAAGTTGGCGGGGGGGGGGGGTCTTGAGACATAGATCAAGTTGTTGACTGACACCAACAATAAGAATAAAGTTCAGGTGAGATGACTCTCATGTGAAATAAAACTACAATAAAGGAGAATTGAAATGTCATTTTTGAAAGTATTAAATATCATTAGGTGTACTCTATCACACCTACTTTTTGTGATCTGCGGTTCTTTTAAATTATTTTAGTTCCTCTCAGTTTCATGTTTTCAAATGTTCCATGTTTTTTCTTGAAAATGTAATGGTTGAAATAATTGACAGCAAATGTACTGTTTATAAAGTTGAACAAATGTAACAGATGATTCACTCAACAGATTGAGTCACTGAGGAAAAGACTGGGTCTGGTAACAAAAGAGAAAAAAACACTTGAAGAAAAACTACACAAGACCTCACGTGAGCTTGATCTTAAAGTAAGAGAAGTTTTATACAAGTTGTTTGAGGTGTTTACATTGGTTGTGGGGGACACTATGAAAGAATGTGGTGTTTACATTGGTTGTGGGGGACTGTATGAAAGAACGGTACAGTAATTAAGGTATGTGAGGCAGATACCCTTTCATACCTGGCAGTCCATGAAGTAGAGTTCATGTAGTTCTGTGACCTTGACCTTTAGGCCTATACGGTTAGTGTGGTGAGTTCTATGCCCAGAGATCTTTACTTTCCCTCATGTGAATCGGGTGCCCATAGGTGAGTGGACTCAGAAATGTGACTGGCTCTAGCCCGGATCCAAACGTGAAGATTTTGACTTAGCAGTCCTTCGCTCTACCACCCTACCATATAATCCCCTTCATTATTAAAAACCTGAAAGGCTTTAGTTGAATTGACTTGTTGGATACAAAGGATATTCCAGAGTCTACCCAGATCTGTCAGATACCTGATTCTAGTCAGAGAAAGTAAAGGTGGTTTGGCTTAGTGCTTACCTCACTATTCCTTTACTATGCTGAGTTCATGGAAACGGGTGAACTCTACTTTATCTGCCATCTGGACTATCTGGTCTGGGTCGGCATGGTTGAGTCGGTAAAGCTTATGGTTGCTAAACCCAAAAGTCTTGAGTTCGAACCCTCGGGCAGATGAGGCTCGTTAGCTGCGGACAGCCACTGTTCTAGGAGAGACAACTCCAAAATTAAACAACTGCTGCCTTGTAGTTTGTTTTTAGTTGGAAAAAGGCTATGGAAGCAAATCCAAAAAGAAAAGGCTGAAATCTGAGTCAATGGCCTCAATGGCACATAACCAGTTGACTTGTATACTTAATTGTGTTGGATCCCTTCCAACACTAAAATAAAGAATGAAGAAAGACTATCTGGTCTGAGAGGGGGTACAAAATTTTTTTGAAGCAACACACCATACGTAAATCACAAAAAGATTTTAAAGGTTATCTGATAATCAACTAAAATATTTCTCCACGAAATATTTGTTTTATTTTTGGCTTAACATAGATGTGTCTTAATACTGTACTGTCTTTTACCAGTCAAAACAACTGACAGAAGCAACCAATCGCTGTGCAGCGCTAGAGACAGCCCTGTCTGACCTGGAGTCATCAGCCCAGCAGCAGCTACACGGCCTGGCCTCGCAGTCCGAGTCAGCCATAGACGCAGCTAGAGAAAAGCTGGCTGCAGCACAGTCCAGAATTTTACAGTTCCAGACCACAATTAAGGTGCTTTGTTTTGTTCAGATTGGGCATGTTCAGGTTTAGAAAAAGTTCTCACTTATGGTGGCTTTCTTTGTGGGTTTTTTGGTCAGATAAGTTGGTTCCAATGTGGCCACAATTATGTTTCTTTCTTTTTCAGAATATTGTATTCATATAATGGCTTTATTGGTGTTTTTATTTGGTCAGAAAAGTTCCTTCATATAGTGACTTTTTGAAATATTAGTGTGGGATGTTCAGAAAAGTTAATACATACAATTTGCTTACTGAAACAACCCTTACTGTGCACATTACAGTATATACATAATCAAACAAAGGAGATTATAATTAGCTGTTAGAAAAACTAGATAAATTAAAGTAACAACAACAAAAAAAAAACAAAAACCAACCGTTAATGGATTCTTTAGTTTTTAATGAATTTTCTAAAGTTATCTAGTGTAGAACTATTGTCTCACCTTTTTCCCTTTGGTTGCTATTTAGATTTTCTAATTTTTTTTGTCTCATTGTTTTATTTTTATTGTTATATAAAGCATTGTCCCACCTTTGTATGTTCTTGTCATCTAGAGAGTTGTCTCACCTGTGTATGTTCTTGTTCTTCAGATTCTAGCCACTGAAATCCTGGGCAGGACAGAACAAGCTCGCTCCCAGCTGACAGAGTCCCTGCTAGCACATGAGCGCAGCAAGAGGGAAGAGGACCTCTCACTGCAGAGGGCACAGGACAAGGCTAAGGACATTCTGAACCTCAGTCAGTCAGATCTGGAGGACATTATGAGTGCTGATGGGGACATGGAAAGTCTGGTCAGTGTAGAGGGGTGCTAGGGACATTTTGTTCTTTACTGAGGTCTAGTGTAGAGGGTTGTAGGGACATTTTGTTCTTTACTGAGCTCTAGTGTAGAGGTTGCTAGGGACATTTTGTTCTTTACTGAGCTCTAGTGTAGAGCATTCTAGGGACATTTTGTTCTTTACTGAGCTGTTGTGTAGAGGCTGCTAGGGACATTTTGTTCTTTATTGAGCTCTAGTGTAGAGGGGTGCTAGGGACATTTTGTTCTTTACTGAGCTCTAGTGTAGAGGGTTGCTAGGGACATTTTGTTCTTTATTGAGCTCTAGTGTAGAGGGTGCTAAGGACATTTTGTCCTTCCATCTACTGAGCTTTAGTTTAGAGGGGTGCTAGGGACATTTAAAAACATTCCTTATAATAGCTTTATTTGTGTTTTTGTTTGTCACAAAAGTTTGTTCATATAGTTGCTTTTTAAAATCAGTTTAGGAGAATCAGAAAATTTTATTTTTGTTTTTTAATTGTTGAACCATAAATGAGGCGAAGTTGATCCTACCTAATTGTAGGAAAAATTAAATTAATTATAATTAGGATGTTTTGTTTTTATACAGAAGTCACTGACAGTAGATGGTAAAAAAATGGACAAAAGATGGCTGAGAAAATGTGAAAAAATACTAAATAGTGGGGTATGTACATTGTTATTTTAATGTTGGTCTAATATTGTTATGTTAATGTTGGTCTAATATTGTTATATTGTTTCCTTAAAAACATAAGACAAACTTTTGGCTAACCCATGTTAGCACTTGGCTTTTCTTTTTCTTAACCCAGGATGATTTTGTTCGGCCACTGGTCAAACTATTGCTGCAGAAATTTGACGAGAGGACTGACCTAATTATGAACACACCTAGATGAAGACTGACCTAATTATGAACACATCAAAATTAGGACCGACCTAATTATTAATGCACCAGAATAAAGACTGACCTAATTACAGACTACTGACCTAATTCTGAAGACACCAATATGAGAACTGACCTCACAACAGAAAACAAACTAGTTTTGTGTCCCAAGATTTGAACTCTCTCCCTCCACTTACCTGTACAGTATTACACTACTCGTCCATTTCTTACATAGACGTAAACATAAGCTGAGAGTCAGTGAATCCATTTTCTCTTGAACCAAGGGAGAGTAGTCAATAATTACAGACATTTTTTTTTAAGGTATCAGAGAATAAGGGTTGTTGTATATGTGTATGTGTGCTCAGTAAGATTCTCTCATATGTAATATATTATGTAGCATTGTTTTTTTTACCGTTGGTAAGTATTTAGCATTCCGTCCAAAATTGAGCATTTTAAAAAGATTATTTATTGTGGGTTTATCTTATTATCCTCTACTGTTGTTTTGGTTATTCATCCCTTCATAATGTCTGAAAACCTTTTGCATAAGTTAATGTATAGAGTATATTTAACAAAGCAATAGTTTCTGTAACTTAGATTAAAAATTTTTTTTTTTCAGTTGGGTACTGTAAATGGAAAAATAGAATTGTTTTTTACTTTCATTTAAACAATGTAATCCCTTAGAATTATATTACCTCCCTTAGACCATGTTTAAAAAATATGCCTTAACTTCCCTGATAGTATTGTTTTAATATATTCCATAATTTCACTTGCCTTGTAAATTTACATTCCAAAATATATTATGTGGTTGAATAAACAATATGTATACATAAAAAATGTCTGTTGGTCATGTTAATGGTGTTTAAAATGTTGTGGCTGGTTTTGGAAACAGGCTGTAATTAATTAAATCTTTAAAGACAGACTGTTATTAATTTAAGCTTTATAGACAGGCAGCAATTAATGTAAGCTTTATAGACAGGCTGTTATTAATTTTAGCTTTATACACAAGCTGTAATTGATTTTAGCTTTATAGACAAGCTGTAATTGATTTTAGCTTTATACACAAGCTGTAATTGATTTTAGCTTTATAGACAAGCTGTAATTGATTTTAGCTTTATAGACAAGCTGTAATTGATTTTAGCTTTATACACAAGCTGTAATTGATTTAAACCTTGGAGATTAGCGTCAATTGATTCAAGTAAGTGTTCACCAAATTATTTTACAAAACTAACCAAACTTTAAACGTATTTGCAGATGAGGTGAATTTAAAAATACTTTATTTCAAAGGTCATAATAAACTTGAAAAACGGCAGTAAATAGTTTAGGTACAAGAAGTCAGACATAACATCACAATTAATATTATATATTTGACAATCAGTATGGTATGTTATACAACCAATATAACATGTATGACATATATCTATGTCACAAAAATATGACGTTTGATAAAATATGGCATATGAATGATACAGTTACAGTACAGTATGTAGGCTATGATACAACTGGTAGTATTTGTTATACGACTCAAGGGACACAACCTGCCCTTGCTGGTGATACAGCAATAGTCTTCATATCCTGATGTGAAAAGTTCTGAAATAAGAAAAATCATGGTGAGAAAATCAATAGTTATTGACATCCCTGCCTGCCCTGTAATCTTACAGAATACATCACACGTTGAGCACCATCTTATAAGCTTACAGATCATTACTCATTTTATAGAAGCCACCAGCTTTAAAAACCCACCAACGCAGGAATAAAAATCAACTACATTTCAGAATACAACTCATTTAAGCATACATGATACTCCCCATACTGAAAAAAAACATGACTTTAATTAAAACAACACAAACCTACAAAAAAAAAGACAACTCACATTATGAAAGTTTGTGAATATTATTCTAAACAACGACCATGAGAGAAAATGCCACCAAATTACAAACAAAAAACCACAATCTATAATACACCCCCCCCCCTTAAATAAACAAAAGTCCTCTATTGAAAATACCACCAAATCACATATAAAAGACCACTATTGAAAATACCACCAAATTACAAATAAAAGACGACTATTAACCCAGCCCCCCCCCCCCAATAAACAAAAGACCACTATTGAAAATACCACCAAACTGTAACCCACAGACCACTCACGTGAGAAAATCCGGTGACCTAGATATTGCATGCTCAAATTCCGTGAAAGACATCATTCCGTCTTCGTCGAGATCTGTCTCCTCCAGGATCTAGTGGTGAGAGAGGGGGTGGGGGTGGGAAATACTTATTGTACATATTTTGTTGGCAACTCCACATTATACATGTAATTGACGTTTTAAATAGAAACTTAAAACTAACCCTACCGAAACCAATAGCTGGGGAACGACTAAACAAACTGTCGTATTTTTACAGTTTGTTAACAAAGTGGCGTCGCTAGGTCGGGTGCGGAAAATAAGGGTGTCATCACCCCCTCCGATAGTTTAAATTTTCGGTTTAGTGTCACTCCCTTCCCAAACTATTCAGTTATTTTAACTGGATAAAAATTTGTTTTGACAATATTGTTTTACGATTTTTAGCGCAATTTCCATACCGGACAATTGCGATTATTAACTCGTCATTTCTGGTGATGGATGGATGTTTGTCCTCAACGAAGCAATATCGAGGACTAGTTCCAAAAGCAAATATGTTAAGCAAGTTCCGAGGATGATTGTGGGCCAAAAAAATTCCCGGAATTCCTTCCTGGATTTCCCGGAAAAGCCAAAAAACCTCGAAAAAATGCAGTTTTTGGTGGCCCATATCGGCAATCAGACCACTTAGCGACTTGAAACATTTACCTATTGATTTCTGCCATAATTTAGAACAATATTGCCGAAGAAAGTTTTCAAAAATATCCTTTCGTTCGGTCACAAAAAATTAATTAAAGAAATTTCGCTTAAATTGTCACTAGACTTTTTATTAACTTGTTTTTTATTTGTTGTCCCTCCCTAAATGATGTCAACTCGTATGCATCGAACCTTCTCCCGCCTTGTGGCCCATTTTGTTCAAGCATCTTAATTTATTTAGGCCTTTCATCATTTTTGCCTGTCGTCCCTACTGGGACATAGGCCGCTGACGAGAGCTTTCCAGGCATCTCTGTCCTGGGCTAGTCTCTCCAACTGTCTCCAGGTGTATCCTGTCCTGGGCTAGTCTCTCCAACTGTCCCTAGGTGTAACCTGTCCTCGGCTAGTCTCTCCAACTGTCTCCAGGTGTATCCTGTCCTGGGCTAGTCTCTCCAACTGTCTCCAGGTGTATCCTGTCCTCGGCTAGTCTCTCCAACTGTCCCCAGTGTATCCTGTCTAGGGCTAGTCTCTCCAATTGTCCCCAGGTGTATCCAATCTTCTTGGTGTCTTCTTCTCGGTCACGTCTCTAAATCATCCTAGGTCGGCCTCTTTTTCTTTCACCCCTATCATTATACTCAATCATATAGTTTCTCCACCCCCCCCCCCCAATTTTTACATTAGCTCTTTAAAAGCAACCAACATTAACCTTAGAATAAGCGAAACAAAACATCCGTGTAGACCAGTGGTTCTTAACCTATTTGGAGGAACCGAACCCCACCAGTTTCATATGCGCATTCACCGAACCCTTCTTAATAGTTCAATCGTCCACACTGTTATAAAAAAGTCTTGAATCATATAAGTCTGTAATGTGTCTTCACCTCCGCCAAACCCCTTTGACTGTCTCACCGAACCCCTCGATTGAACCACGCGAAGAACCACTGGTGTATAGATTTACCTTGTCAATGATAAAAGTCACCTCCTCCTTCTTGAGGGAGTCCTGGGTCAGCCCCTTCAGTGTCTTCTCTAAGTCAGTCTTCCCAAGATAGTTGTCCCCATCGTAATCTACAAGATGGAATCTTCGAGTTTTTAATTTACCGTTAAATTATTTTTTTTTACATTTAATGAAATAATAAACTTGGGTAATGTAGAAAAAAGATTTAATTTTAATTTTACATCTTCTGCAAGTGAAGTTCGCTTTATCTGTTTCAGTGACCTGGGCAGTATGGTCAGTTCTATGCATAGTCGCATTTACTTTTACACAACTTGAGTCGGGGACCCACCAGCAGTGGCGCCGCTAGGTCTGGTCTCACCCGGTGCGGCACCTCATGGAGTCACCCCCCCCCCCCTTTTTTGTCTGGGTAAATTTTGCTGTTGGTTTTACACTACTCCCCCCCCCCCCCTCCCCCAATCCGGTAAAAGCTTTAAAGTGTTCACAATTTATCTAATGATGTTATCTAAAATCGGTTGTTAATACAGCTGGGTGTAGCATTGTTTTCTCTATAGTTTGCATGTTTACGTCATGGTGTCACCAACCCCCTCCCCCCACAGCCTTTGTTGTGATCGTCATTATGTATTTAAAATACTTTTTAACTCTAATTTAACATTAATTGAACTGGCAAAAAATGTATTCTATATATCTTGCAATTTTTGTGTCTTGGTGTACAAAATAAATGGTACCGCTACATTGAGAGTTTATAATCGTCCTTATAAAAGAAAACTAGATTCGAGGTTGATTACTTCATCTCCTGATACTTCCCATATACACAAAGGGAGACAGACCTTACTAAATGTTGCATATCTAAGTAGAACCTTAATTAACATCTTCCAGAACCCCAGCCAATGGAAAACTGAGGGAAACAAATTATTGTAAATCTGACGTAAAACAAATTACCGTAAATCTGACAAAAAACAAATTAAAGTAAATATGAAAAAAAAATAACCGTAAATCTGACAAAGAAAATTACTGTAAATCTGTCAAAAAGAATTTACCGTAAATTTCACAAAATCAAATTACCGTAAATCCAACAAAAAGTCACATTACAGTAAATCTCACGAGACAAATTACCGTAAATCAGACAAAGACAAATTACCGTAAATATGACAAAGAAAAATTAACGTAAATCGACAAAGAAAAATACAGTAAATCTGTCAAAAACAAATTACCGTAAATCCTAAAAGCGTACGTAGACTTGATCTCCCTAGGTGCCGCCTCACTTAACACAGAGAACATGTCCAGAAAGTCATCGAACGCCATGTCACCGGAACCGTCGTCAGAGAAAACTTGGCAGATCCGTCTCCGGAAGGGGTTTTCCTGTGGGGTGGATGGGATAGTTTTAAACAAGCCACATCTATATAGGGGTTCTCCTGGGGATGGATAGGATATATTTTAAACAACTCAGCTCTATTCAGGGGTTTTCCTGTGGGGTGGATGGGATAGTTTTAAACAAGCCAGTTCTATAAAGGAGTTTTCCTATGGGGTCGTTAAAATATATATAGAAAAGCAACCCCCTCTCTCTCAAATGGGGTTTCCCGTGGGGTGGTATGGATATATTCTAAATATGCTAACTCAGAAAAGGCTGTTTTTACAAGCTTTTATTTAACTTACTGTCTCTGTCTGTCTGTCGTCAAATCGAAACGGCCGAGCGAAAAAAAATTCGGGCACTTCTAACTGACAGATTCGGTTCAAAATTGGCACGTGGTAGGGTGAGGGGGGGGGGGGGTAATAGACGGACACTTATTTCGTTATTAATTATGTATTATTTCTAATTATTTCTAATTCTTCGATGTTGGGGGGGGGGGGGGGAGGGAGGAGTGGTTTGTTTGCCCCCCCCCCCCCTCTCTGAGAGGAAAACCTATCATAGGTGTGTGTAGTATTAGGTGTGCCATCGTCTATTTGTTGACCTAATTATTTAATTGTATACAACATACATAAACATAGGCTATGAATTAAGAAAAAATAAAATACAATGATCAGCACGTACTGATGTTTCTATACTACATTTTGCAATATCGTTGCATCTCTTCACAAGTAGTACCTAGATTGTGTGGCATTAGAGATTGTGTGCAGTAATATAGAGTTATGTACTGTATTTAATCTGTGTGTGCACTAATATAGAGTTATGTATTATATTTAGTCTGAATAAACTCTATCAAGAACTATGGCCTACAACGAACGTTAAAAATGACTAGGGTAGAATCAAACGAACGTACAATCAGTTCTGGCATGTTCTCGACTTTATCCACCGGGATCTTCAGCTTGGAGCCCTCGTTGCTCGTCATGTTGTAGGGGATGAGATCAGGGGCCAGACCTTTGAACCTTTCGAATACTCTGTCGGGATGAGAGGGTCAGATAGGATGGTGTGGTACATTTGATTAGTAGCGTGGTGATTGAAAATCAGAGTAAATAAACAGATCATTAACAAAACAAAATCAAATATTTCCGTGGTGTGCATACAAAATTAACAATAACAGCTTAGACATACATACATGTAAATAAAAAAAAAAGTACTATAGCTTATGTATATATTTATGTAAACATAGAAATAAACACACACATATATATATATATATATATATATATATATATATATATATATATATATATATATATATATATATATAATGTATGTATATATCTATATTTTACAATGTTGTAAAACACCAAACTCCTGCAAACTCGAGAGATTGGACTTTAGTTTCTCACCTTAAAATATCTTTTCTTGTAAAAAATGTACAGTCCTATAGACAAATATGATAAATACTAAGTGAGAAGTTGAAGAACAGATATATCACACACAAGAATCACCCAAATCTCAAATCTACATCAGTCACACCGCTTTCCACAAAATCCGCATAATACAAATATCCTCTCACACATCAACTATTGACAACCCCAGACATCACACATACACCACCCAACATATCACCCATACACCACCCAACATATCACCCATACATTAAAAATAGATCATCCGACACATCAACCATACACAGCCCCACACACCACCTCACACCTCTCATATCACCTCTTACATCACCTCTCACATCACCTCTCACATCACCTCTCACACCACCTCTCACACCACCAATACATAACCCCACACCCCACCTCAAATATAATCAATACACAACCCCAGACTCCACCTCACACATTACCCGTACACCATCCCACATATCACACATACACCGTCCCACATATCACCCATACACCATCCCACATATCACACATACACCATCCCACATATCACCCATACACCATCCCACATATCACACATACACCATCCCACATATCACCCATACACCGTCCCACATATCACCCATACACCATCCCACATATCACACATACACCATCCCACATATCACACATACACCGTCCCACATATCACCCATACACCATCCCACATATCACACATACACCATCCCACATATCACCCAAACACCATCCCACATATCACCCATACACCATCCCACATATCACACATACACCATCCCACATATCACACATACACCGTCCCACATATCACCCATACACCATCCCACATATCACACATACACCATCCCACATATCACCCATACACCATCCCACATATCACACATACACCATCCCACATATCACACATACACCGTCCCACATATCACCCATACACCATCCCACATATCACCCATACACCATCCCACATATCACACATACACCATCCCACATATCACACATACACCGTCCCACATATCACCCATACACCATCCCACATATCACCCATACACCATCCCACATATCACCCATACACCATCCCACATATCACCCATACACCATCCCACATATCACCCATACACCATCCCACATATCACCCATACACCATCCCACATATCAACCATACACCATCCCACATATCACCCATACACCATCCCACATATCACCCATACACCATCCCACATATCACCCATACACCATCCCACATATCACCCATACACCATCCCACATATCACCCATACACCATCCCACATATCACCCATACACCATCCCACATATCACCCATACACCATCCCACATATCACCCATACACCATCCCACATATCACCCATACACCATCCCACATATCACCCATACACCATCCCACATATCACCCATACACCGTCCCACATATCACCCATACACCATCCCACATATCACCCATACACCATCCCACATATCACCCATACACCATCCCACATATCACCCATACACCATCCCACATATCACCCATACACCATCCCACATATCACCCATACACCATCCCACATATCACCCATACACCATCCCACATATCACCCATACACCATCCCACATATCACCCATACACCATCCCACATATCACCCATACACCATCCCACATATCACCCATACACCATCCCACATATCACCCATACACCATCCCACATATCACCCATACACCATCCCACACCTAACCCATAATCCTCCTCAGACACCACCCATAACCACCCATACACCATTTTATACAATACTCCCACACTTTACCCAATACACCACCCACACCCCACCCCACACACCACCCAAACACCACCACACACATTACCTACCCACACATCACACACATCCCACACAAAACGCCCGCACCTACCTGATACGCCTCTAGCTGTGTCTCAGTAAACGAAGTTACTTTATTCCCCATGAATCGATTTGGCCCAGAAACGGCTGCTCATCGATACCGTCATATTAAATTTCCTATAGATCGATGCTGTGCTATGGACTGGAGGAAAGTTTACAATGGTTGTTTACACCTTGTGTCCAGCTAAGATTCTTGCAAGTTCACTCCTGAACTCTAGCGTAGTACACCTAAAACTGATAGAACATACATCAGAATCTAGTGAAGACACCTATGAAATGTATCAAAGATATACCTTTAGTTGGAATTGTACCAATGAGGTATTTAATTGTCTATGGAAGAGACACCTGGAATTTAGCGAAGAAACATTTGAAAAGTATCTAGTTAACTAAATCGAACCTAGAGTATTTAATTGATGATTTTGAAAATTAACAAATAGCTGATTACAAGAAAAAAAAAAGTATTTTTAAAACGTGTTGAGATGGTCGAATGGTAGAGCAGGTCAGTCTGAAAGGCTGAGGTGTGCGAGAGGTTAGAATCGCCGCATGTACTTCTACAAAGACAGATGTCTTACGTTATGTTACAGTTGTCTCAGGTCTGTGTGTGTCACTCAAATATTTACAATAATGTGTGTTAAAAACAATGGCAGAGTATTAAATTAAAACCGATATGGAATTTGTTATATATATATATATATATATATATATATATATATATATATATATCATATATACGTATATCTACATATTTATTTATATTATACATATACATGTACATGTGTATAAATATAATATAGACAATAAATACATACATTTGAACATTAGATAAGTATATTTATGTATGGGCGTTTGTATAAAATTCATACCAAAACCTTACAAACGACATAGGAGCAGGCTATTGATACTCTCGAACATAAATCCTGTACTCACGACTAATAAGTACCTGACATTGTTTGGCCTAACGCTGACCTAACTATTTCTTCGTGAAAAACAAAACGAGCAACAACAGATGAACTCTACTGCATCTGCTCTAAGGACCATCATGTATTAAGAAGTTATTTAATTTAGTCCCTTTACTTATGACTAATGACACAAGAAAAGTGTGAGCTAGGCATTACACAAATGTCTTATCATCATTCACGTTATCGTACATGTCGTTGTTGATGAAGTTACAACACAAAACTACCGAGACCTAACTACCCTTTACCTGTAATCACAAATAAATTTGATTTAGTTAAACAAGATAAATTATAACATTACGTCCAAGCCAAAGTTTATCCTGCGAACACAGGGTACAAGAATCCAACGAAATAGTTCTCTACATATCAAGGACCACGATGCCAAGTAGTTCTGTACAAGAATTCAACGAAATAGTTCTCTACTTGGCAAGTACCACGATGCTATTGCTAAGTTGTTTTGTACAAGAATTCAACGAAATAGTTCTCTACATATCAATGACCACGATGCCAAATAGTGCTGCCACTTCTTTCTAATCTCTGCGTTGATCGGACTCGTCAATACGGAGGAGATCGATATAGCAATAATCAGAGCTGAATAGGTGGGATGAAAAAATCGAAACAGTTATTGGATTTGTTTTACTAAGAGCAGAATAGAACGGCATGTTTTTGGGAAGTTTTAGTTTTTCCCCAAAGGTCAAAGGTTTTTTTGTACTTTTCTTTTTCAGATTCCTACTTATTGGTTAATATTTAATAATATATTCATTAAAGTTGGTCTTCATTTTCTTTACTAATTAACTGGTGTGTGGGAAAATTGAATTTTAATTGAAAATGTAAAAAAAAAAAAAAAAAAAAAAAAACAAGGGAGGGAATCACGCAGATGATTTGTAATCAGAGTGCCGCGCCCTGACACCTTTGAACAAGTGACGTGGATTAGTCACGTTCAGCCATTGTGTGAGCATAGTACAAAACTGGACAAGGGAGTTAAATCGATGTTCTTAATCAATACGGAGTTCAAACACCTCAACACAGTTTTAAACGTCTGAAATAATTTGCTGAAAAGGTAGTATTCATCAGATATTGTTATGATTATGGAAACAGTTTTTTAAACAAGCATGATGGTATATTAAGTAGAAGAATTTCACAGATACATTTAACATATTCATATGCAGGCAAGTCTTAACATGGTTTTTTCAACAAGTGTTTCGTCGATTTAACAGGTACTAGCACTAATTCCAGACATAAACATATCTAAACCATCACAACGCACACTAACACATTTAAACAAACATAAACATATCTAAACCATCACAACACACACTAACACATTTTAAATCATATCGACAAACAAAAACACATTTTAAAATATTTCAACAAACACGAACATATCTAAACCACAACAACACAAAATAAGACTCGATCCAAAAAAAAACAACGTACGCTTACATTTGGTAAAGAAAAACGCCGTAAGTCAGTCACTCTATGTAAACGTATATCTTTATTTATAAACAGAACAAGCAATCTACGTTTAGAAGACAATTTCAAATAACGCCCTATAAATGAATCATATACAAATTATTGACAAAGCCATCTAGACACATGTAACACATTGAAATATAAAAGACAACATTGTTAGGTCTTTTTCGTTGCGAACACAAGTCTGATAGTAACTTCTCTCGTTTAAGTAATTTGTCCAACTTTTATTTATCGTATAACATACACCCTAAGAGGCTTGTCATTATATGTCCATTCGTATGCATTGTTCTTTAGGTAATGTCTATCAAACATGATTATATAATTATATATTTATCAAATTTTAAACAAAAAACAGTCAAAAAATAGTGTATAAAGCATGTTGAAATGGTAAATGTAAAAAGATAAATGAGAATCCAAAGATTTAAGTGTAAAGTCCGCATTTCTTAACACGTATGCGTAAAGTCAACATATGTGTACATACGTGCAGTCATACGTGTGTATGTCAGGTCACATAGCGTCATGTAGTATCTTTCCGTCAGTTGTTGTTAAATTAAATTTCCGTACACAATTTCCGTACATAATTTCCGTTAGTAAACCATCGCAAGTACTTGTCAAACCAATTATTTATTTTATTGAAACGTCACGGTTGTTAATTAGTTTCTTCGGTATTTAGAGAAACCATTTCACCACATTATCAATTTCCTACAACGTTTGTCCGTATTGTTCAAACTGGTAGATTAAACGCCAAGACCACTAGCAAATGTGTTTGAACTATCAAACACATGTGGTTGGGAATAAAAAAAAACACAAGGAAATATTTATAAAGAAATATGTCAAACGTTTTGTTATTTTGTTGGAAAATATAGTTAAAATTCGAGCCTGTCGCGCTGTTTACTCATCAGATTTCATAACATCAGGAGGGGATCGTTTGGTGTCACATACAGCTGGTTTGTTATGGGTTGTTGCTGCTGTCTTTTCTAAAAAAAATATAAAATCGGGCGCTGTTTTACAGCTTATTCATACTATTAGCTAACTCAATAAACTGCTAAATTGTAATCGAATATTTTACTTCGTGTTCTTTGTCTAAAAACGTACCAATAACCCACCCCAACCTGTCTACAAATCCTACCAATACCCACCCTACACAAGTATACAAATCTCAACAACAACCCACCACACAACAAATCCCACCAATACCCCCCCCCCCCCCACCAAAACAACAAAGCCCTCAAACAACCCACACCGACTACAAAAAATTCCTCCAATAACTCACCCCAACATCAACAAATCCAACCAACAACCCACCCCCACAACAACAAATCCCACCAATAACTCACCCCTTCAACAACAGAACCCACCAACCACCCACCGACACAACCACAAATCCCACCAACAACCCACCCCCACAACAACACATCCCACCAACACCCCACCCCAACAACCACAAATCCCAACAACAACTCACCCCAACAACCACAAATCCCACCAACAACCCACCCCCACAACAACACATCCCACCAACAACCCACCCCAACAACCACAAATCCCAGCAACAACCCAGCCCCACAACAACAAATCCCACCAAAAACTCACCCCCACAACTACACATCCCACCAACAACCCAGCCCCACAACAACAAATCCCACCAACAACTCACCCCCACAACTACACATCCCACCAACAACTCACCCCACAACTACAACGCCCAATCCTCCTCATGCCACTCCATCATCACGTTCTTGAACTTGTCATCATCAGCCCTCGGATCACACACGCAGTAAATCTCGTGCTCATAGAACACCTGGCAGTTGAAATTCTCGTGGTCCCAGTAGGTCGGTGTTTCTGCTCAATCAGAAAGTTAAATAAAATGTTTACATGGATCAATTTAGTAATAATAACAATTGCATATTCTATTGTGATCGGAAACAAAGCTTCCCTGAAAATTTCAGCGCGCTAGCTAACTGGGAAGTGCCCGAAATTTCGATCGCAAGATTTGATTGGAAAGACGCGAAAGCAAGTTAAAGAAAACGTGGTAAAATACAAAGAATAAAAACAGCTAGTGTAGACCTTCTCACAGATTGAACTACAAAAGAGGTTTGGGCCTAAGGTCTTCGTCGGAAGGGTGAATCAATTACAGTAAGAGGAAACTAAAAACCATTGGACAAGGCAAGAGTGTGAAGTACACATTGTCTAAAAGCCACATTATTCAAATATTAGAGATACCTGAACAACAAGGGGTTTGGGATGGAGTGCGTGGGGTTTGGTTTGGTTCATATGAAAGATGTAAACTAATGTAATTAAGGTTTGATAACAAGACCACGAGATAGTTCATGGCCCTAGTTGTCTGAGCTGTATTCGTTTACACTATCTTTATAAATCTTGAAAGCCACAAAAATAGACAAAGGTAAAGATTATGGAAAATCAAACAAAAGAACACAACGAAGAATTACAAAGAAAAAAAAAACAGACAAAAAACAAAGAAGAGACAAATAACAAAGAACAGAACAAAAAACAAAGAGCAGACCAAGAACAAAAACAAACAACAAAAACAAACAACAAAAAAAAGGTAAAGGGAAAAAAAAAACAGACAAAGAACAAAAAAGAGAAAAAGATCAGCAAAGAACACAAAAAAAGGAAAGAAAACAAAAAAGACTAAAAACAAACAACGTAAAAAAAAAGAGAGGAAGAAGAACAAAAATCAGCAAAAGAACAAAGAAAAAAAAAACAAGGAACAAATCACAAATAACAGAGAAAGAACGGTATGAAGAACGAACAAGAGGTAAAAAACGAAGAGTAGCCAAAAAAAAAAAAAACGCACCTAAAACTTTAAAGAGCACCGGCTGATGGGACCGAATCTCTCCCAGAATAGGATGTCTGCAGACCAGCACGCGCGGCTTGTCCAGGTACCACTCACACGTTATCGGTGTTATCGCTTTCGACATCCTCTTCTTCCTCAGCTTCTTGGCGTCCACGTACTTGGACACATCATCCTCCGACTTGTAGCGCGCACCGCCGTCGAAGTAGTTGAACCTCTTCGACTCAAAGTAAAAATCGTCTTCCTCCGGGATACTCCCGCGTCGTGTGTCGTCAATATCGTCGTCATCCTTCCTCAGCGCGGAGTCCCTTGGTTTCAAATCTTCCTCCGATTCCTCTTCCTCCAATCGTCGCTTCTCCTCCTTTTTCCTTTTCTCAACCGGCATTTCCCGGTCCTCGTCTGCTGGCTCGTCTGAGTAATCGTCGCGTTTTTTCTTCGTTTTCCTCTCCGTTTCCTCTTTTGTCTTGGACACGGACATTTTCGCCTTGCGCGATTCGCGGCGATCTTTCGCGTCAAAGACGCCCTGTTCCGAAGCTTCGGCGTCATCGAATTCTTTGACATCCGACTCCGTCTCCTCCAGCGGGATGTCTTCATCCAACGCTTTCGACAGTTTACTCTTCGGCTGTTTCTTTTTGAATTCCGGCATCTGATCCAAATCTTCACCTTCCGATTCCCGTGTTTCGGCAGCATATTCATCCGCGTCCCGCTTCTGTTTTTTTAATTTGGAATCTTCTTCCACGATGTCATCTTCTGATATGGACTTCGTCGATCGACGCCGAGTGACGGTTTCTCCATCTTCTGTCTTGGTTTTCTTACGTTTTTTCTTTTCCTTAACACCATCGTCTATCGGTTCCTGTTCCGTTTTCGTTTCCGATATGTCTTCTTGAAGTCGACTTTCATCATCGAGGAGCCGTTTTTTGACTGAGTCGTCCAGATCGGACACCTTGCTCTTACGTCTGCCTCTTTTCTTTTTGCCTTCTTCATTGTCGTCGGATGAGTCTGATGCCGGTCTTTTCTTCTTGACGCGCCCTTCTTTTTCCGGCACTTTCTCTGTCTCATCTGCAGGTTCGGTGAATTCTTCGTCGATCTCTTCATCAAGTCTTGTTTTTTTCTTTTTCGTCGTCTCGTCTTCATCTATATCTTCCTCGAAGGCTATTCGCGCTTCTTTCTTTCTAGTAGGTTCTTCCTCACCCGGTTCTTCGTCCGGTCTCGTTTTTACCTTTTTCTTTTTGACAGGCGCATCTTCATCCGGCTCCTCACCCGGTCTAGTTTTTCCTTTCTTTTTCTTGACCGGGGCCTCTTCTTCGAGGTCTTCATCTGGTCTCGTTTTTACTTTCTTTTTCTTGACCGGTTCATCATCTTCATCCGGCTCCTCATCCGGTCTCGTTTTTACTTTCTTTTTCTTGACCGGTTCATCATCTTCATCCGGCTCCTCATCCGGTCTCGTTTTTACTTTCTTTTTCTTGACCGGTTCATCATCTTCATCCGGCTCCTCATCCGGTCTCGTTTTTACTTTCTTTTTCTTGACCGGTTCATCATCTTCATCCGGCTCCTCATCCGGTCTCGTTTTTACTTTCTTTTTCTTGACCGGTTCATCTTCATCCGGCTCCTCACCCGGTCTAGTTTTACCTTTCTTTTTCCTGACCGGTTCATCTTCATCCGGCTCCTCATCCGGTCTGGTTTTCCCTTTCTTTTTCCTGACCGGTTCATCTTCATCCGGCTCCTCATCCGGTCTGGTTTTCCCTTTCTTTTTCTTGACCGGTTCATCTTCATCCGGCTCCTCATCCGGTCTGGTTTTCCCTTTCTTTTTCTTGACCGGTTCATCTTCTTCATCCGGTTCCTCTTCCGGTCTGGTTTTCCCTTTCTTTTTCCTGACCGGCTCCTCGTCATCCGGCTCTTCTTCCGGTTTCGCCTTTCCTTTTTTCTTTTTTGGCCGCTCCTCTTCGTCCATTTCCTCATCGGGTTTAGTTTTCGCTTTTTTCTTTCTGGCCGGCTCGTCTTCATCCGAATCTTCATCCACGACCGGTTTTCCTTTTTTCTTTCCTTTCTTTTTACCCACAGGTTCTTCCTCCTCATCAGAACCTTCCTCCCCTCGTGTTTTCGCTTTCTTTTTTTTCCCCCGGTCCTCCTCAGCGTCGTCATCCGATTTCTTTTTACCTTTCTTCGTCTTGACTTTTTCCTCAATTTCTTCCTCCAACGAACTTTTTTCATCGTAATCCTCCTCATCATATTTAGAGGAGGCTTTCTTCTTTTTTCTTTCCTCTCCGTCGTCCTTCTTTGATTTTCCTTTCCTCTTCGGCGATGTTTCCTCGCCTTCCAGAGATTCCATCGAATCCCGTTTCTTCGTCTTGCGTTTTTGCTCTCCCTCTACAGAACCCTGATCGTCTTCTTCGTCGTCATCGACCTCACGTTTTTTACCCTTCTTCTTTTTCTTCTTCGCAACACTCTCATCCACATCTTCATCGTCTTCGTCACCTTGTAAGGTGGAACCATCTGGGCTCGAAGTTTCGAGCCCGCGTTTTTTCTTGTCTTTTGATTTTTTCTTCTTACTTTTCGTCTCCTCGACTTCTTCATCAAATGATTCCTTCTTATCGTCATCTTCATCGTCGTCCTCATCGTATTTTCCTTTCTTGGCTTTTTTCTTTTTGGCTTTCTTCCCTTCCTCAGGAGACATCAAGTCACGCGAGTCGGGCTTCTCAAGGTCGCGTTTCTTTTTCTTTTTCTTGCCGGCGTCGTCCGAGTCTATTCCTTTCTTCTTCTTCTGCGACTGCTTTGACGAGTCATCGGAGTCCTCGCCAGCCTCCTCGCCCATGTCAAGGTCGAAGTCATCCGATAACAAGCTGGGGCTTCGGGGTTTTTCTACCTCGGTTTTTTTCCCTTTTCGTTTCTTTTCTTTTTCGGTGTCGTCCTTTCCCGCGGGGGAAACCTTGCCGACGGATTCCTTTCCCTCGATCTTTATCTTACTGCTGGATGATTTTTTCAACTTTGCTGCTTTCGTTTTAGACGGAACTGATTCTTTCCTCTCGGCGATGATCATCGATGACAGGCGTGGTTCATCAAAACTTTCCTCATCGTCTTCCTTTTCATCGCCGCTTATGCGCCCCGAGGTTTTTTTCGTCGGTTTTTTCTTTGCCTGTGCTTTCTTTGCTTTAGCGTCCTCTTCCGATGGGGTCTCATCGACTTTACCTTTCTTTCCCTTTTTTGGTTTCTCTTTTTTTTTCATCGCACTCTCATCCGTTAGCGATGTTTTGCTTTTTCTAGGCTCGTCAAGGAGAGTAAGGCTGGACTTTTTCTTTTTTGCTTTTTTTCCTTTTTTATCATCGTCGTCTGCCTTTTTTCCTTTGAAAGGAAACTTGGAACTGGTTTCTTTCCCGACTTGCTGCTTGACCAATTCCTCATCCTCTTCCTCGAGAGCTTCCTCTTCGGTGATCTCTTCATCCAATCCTTCGTCTTCAACCTCAACATCTTGCTCTTTACGCCGCTTGGGTTTCTTCTTCAATTTTGGGCTGCTTTTCTCGCGTTTCGGAGACTTGCTCCGATCTATTCGCGGCTTCGAGTCTTTCTTTTTTGCTGGTTTTATTTTGAACAGTTTTTCAAAACTGGGCGATAACTCATCTATTTCCTCTTCCTCTTCTACCACCTCCTCTTCCTCTTCTTCAACTCTAGGGCTTGCTTCCTCCTCTGAATGCTCTTCTTCTACAACGCTTGCTGAGTCTCTAAAAATAGAATCGTCAAACAAATCCGAACTAGATCCCGTCGATACCTTATCGTCTTCGTCTAACTCCGTCGTAGCCTCACTAATTATCATCGACTGCTTGCTTGACTCAATGGGCGTTCGCTTGCGGGGGACCTTCTGAAATTTTGGTGGCGTTTTTTTCGGTTTGGGTTTTGGCGGCGGCGGGGCTTTTATAAACTTCGTAACCTTACTGACGTGCCTATCGTCTTTGTGTCCACTGTCCTGAGCTTTCCTGTCAGCGGTTTCTGAATGGACGATCTCCTTCTTCACTTCTTCTTCCTCGATTTCACTTTCTTTCTGCGATTCTTCTTCTTCTTCTTCGGCAGCCAGCAGAGTTTTTCTTCTCGCTTCCTCCCACAGAAGCAACTCAATTCTTTTCTCGCCTCTTAGAATAAGCTGAAAGATAAACGCAGGAAAGTTTCAGGACAAGGAACAAAAAAGTAAAGAGCTAAAAAAATTATTACTTTAAGATACCTGATTGTTTTAACATAGTTGTGTACTTATGTTAGCGAGCTTTAAATATTTTATCTGCCCTAACATCTTGAAGCTGTTTTCAACAGTTGTAACAGGGATCAAAACTTGTGGTCGCTCTTACATATTTTAATCATATCACCACCCCCCCCCTTCCTATTCAAGGTTTATGGAGCAGATATAGTAGAGCTCATTTTTTTTTCAACGACCACGGCATACAGAGGGATAATGCGAATAACATTATACTCAGGGAAAAAACCTCGGGTTTAAGCCGGGGTCCTGACTCAAAGCTTACGGGTGTAAGCTCTACCTTCTGAACCATACCGTACCCACCTTGCAGCTCCCCTCAACTCATGCAGGTGTCCTTAAGTTTTGTAGTTGCCTTCAGATTTTGTAGAAATACAAAAACAATTTATAGCTGCACCCGCCCAAATCTTGTATGAGCCCATACATCTTCTAGCCACCAACGCTGGTAGAAAACTTCTACTAAATGATCATATTGATGTTAGGACGGAGAGGGTTTAGACTCTTGCACTATTAAATTTTCCCCTGTGGATCAAGATATAGAAACACTAGAGTAATATACTTTTATTGTCTAAGAGATCTAACTCACTTTCAGCTCGTGAATTTTTTTCTTGATTTTCTCAATGTTTGATTGTCGAACGGCATTCTCTTTTTGAAGTTCCAGAGCCATCAGCTGCAGCTCCTAAATAATAAAAACAGAGCCATCAGTTGCAGCTCCTAAATAATAAAAACAGAGCCATCAGTTGCAGCTCCTAAATAATAAAAACAGAGCCATCAGTTGCAGCTCCTAAATAATAAAAACAGAGCCATCAGTTGCAGCTCCTAAATAATAAAAACAGAGCCATCAGTTGCAGCTCCTAAATAATAAAAACAGAGCCATCAGTTGCAGCTCCTAAATAATAAAAACAGAGCCATAGTCTACAGCTTCTAAATGCTAAAAACAGAGCCATCAGCTGCAGCTCCTAAATAATAAAAACAGAGCCATCAGCTAGAGCTCCTTAGACAAGGTTGCTAATTATCTTAGAAATGATTGCCCGTTACCTTAGAAAAGATTGCCTTAGCAAAGATTGCCCGTTACCTTAGAAAAGATTGCCCATTACCTTAGCAAAGATTGCCCGTTACCTTAGAAAAGATTACAGTTACCTTAGCAAATTGCCCGTTATCTTAGAAAAGATTGCCTTAGCAAAGATTGCCAGTTACCTTAGAAAAGATTGCCTGTTACCTTAGAAAAGATTGCCAGTTACCTTAGAACAGATTGCCAGTTACCTTAGAAAAGATTGCCCGTTACCTTAGAAAAAATTGCCCGTTGCCTTAGAAAATATTACCTGTTACCTTAGCAAAGATTGCCCGATACCTTAGAAAAGATTACCTTAGCTAAGATTGCCCGTTACCTAAGAAAAGATTGCCCGTTACCTTAGAAAAGATTACCTTAGCAAAGATTGCCCGTTACCTTAGCAAAGATTTCCTGTTACCTTAGAAAAGATTACCTTAGCTAAGATTGCCCGTTACCTAAGAAAAGATTGCCCGTTACCTTACAAAAGATTGCCCGCTACCTTAGAAAAGATTGCCAGTTACCTTAGAAAAGATTGCCAGTTACCTTAGAAAAGATTACCCGTTACCTTAGAAAAGATTGCCTTAGCAAAGATTGCCCGTTACCTTAGAAAAGATTGCCAGTTACCTTAGAAAAGATAGCCTGTTACCTTAGCAAAGATTGCCTGTTACCTAAGAAAAGATTGCCTGTTACCTCAGAAAAGATTGCCTGTTACCTTAGAAAAGATTGCCCGTTACCTCAGAAAAGATTGCCCGTTACCTTAGAAAAGATTGCCCGTTACCTCAGAAAAGATTGCCCGTTACCTTAGAAAAGTTTGCCAGTTACCTTAGAAAAGATTGCCTTCTCGTAGAAATACAGCTCACAGTCGACAGACTTGTACAAGCTCAAAGCGATGAATTCTATGGGATCTGTGGGCCGTTTCTGGAGAAAGACGACGTCACATCACGTGATGTTAAAGTTGTTGGCAGACTGACTAAACTTCCTATGCCACCCCCAACCCACCCCGAATATGCGTTATTTGTGAAACATTTCTTGATTATCTTTTTTCATCAATTTCGATCAGCCGATTTTTCCCTCATTATGTTTTAGCACAGGATGTTTTATTTTACATTGCTATGTTCATCAACATCATCTTTTTTCCGAGCAGGATGGACTCAGGGATGTTCTACTAACTTGAACCCGGATTCGAACTCGAGAATTTCGGGTTAGCAGTCTAGCTCTCTACTGCTAGGCTACGTCATCCCATACACTGCTATGTTATTGACGAATAAATATATTAGCTTAATTATATGTAAATATATACTTTGAGGTTGTGATAATTTCAATGATTTACTTAATACTTAGTCTGAAAAATAGCATTGATAAATGTTTCAAAGTTATTTTTTCCGGGACCGTTTTGAAATATCATGATATTGATGGCTTGATTAAAATGCTCACATATAATATCTTCTCGCAGATTTAGCATGGAGTAATTACATTTGAAAAAGATGAACTCAACTTCACTTGTTCCATGGACACCGCGCCAAGTTTAAAAAAAGGGTACTTTACAAAGAAATTTGAAAACTTACCTTTAATAAAACTACCGTTAATAATTGTATCACCAACATAAAATAGACACTTTAAATTTAACTTAAATGTTATTCTTTGTTTAAAAAATCTAACCCCTCCTTCCCCCACCCTGATCATCAAACTGACCCAGGGTGGGCCACAAGCAGGGAAACACTACGTAGATAATTGCATCATCATCTTGTCCCTTACATGAATAGAGCTCATTTGCTTCCATGAGCTCCGCATATAAAGAGACAATGTGGTCAGCAATATGCCCAGCCACCCAAACGTGAGTTAGGTACCCATCAGAGCTGGGCGGACTCACGAATGTTCTACTAACTTGAACCCGGCTTCGAACTCGAAACTATCAGATTACCAGTCCAGCTCTCTATTTCTAGGCCACACCGTCCCGCATATAACATACATTTTTACCCTCACCCCCAGTGTTTTACGTCCTCCCTATCAGATCAATTGCCCCGCTATATTTGAAAGTGGATGGGCACACCCTCCGTCCACGGGCCTAAAGTTGGATGGGGCACACCCTCCGTCCACGGGCCTAAAGTTGGATGGGGCACACCCTCCGTCCACGGGCCTAAAGTTGGATGGGGCACACCCTCCGTCCACGGGCCTAAAGTTGGATGGGGCACACCCTCCGTCCACGGGCCTAATCTTGGATGGGGCACACCCTCCGTCCACGGGCCTAAAGTTGGATGGGGCATACCCTCCGTCAACGGGCCTAAAGTTGGATGGGGCACGCCCTCCGTCCACGGGCCTAAAGTTGGATGGGGCACGCCCTCCGTCCTAAAGTTGGATGGGGCACACCCTCCTTCCTAAAGTTGGATGGGGCACACCCTCCGTCCACGGGCCTAAAGTTGGATGGGGCACGCCCTCCGTCCTAAAGTTGGATGGGGCACACCCTCCTTCCTAAAGTTGGATGGGGCACACCCTCCGTCCACGGGCCTAAAGTTGGATGGGGCACGCCCTCCTTCCTAAAGTTGGATGGGGCACACCCTCCGTCCACGGGCCTAAAGTTGGATGGGGCACGCCCTCCTTCCTAAAGTTGGATGGGGCACACCCTCCGTCCACGGGCCTAAAGTTGGATGGGGCACGCCCTCCGTCCACGGGCCTAAAGTTGGATGGGGCACGCCCTCCGTCCTAAAGTTGGATGGGGCACGCCCTCCTTCCTAAAGTTGGATGGGGCACGCCCTCCTTCATAAAGTTGGATGGGGCACACCCTCCGTCCACGGGCCTAAAGTTGGATGGGCACACCCTCCGTCCACGGGCCTAAAGTTGGATGGGGCACGCCCTCCTTCCTAAAGTTGGATGGGGCACACTCTCCGTCCACGGGCCTAAAGTTGGATGGGGCACGCCCTCCGTCCACGGGCCTAAAGTTGGATGGGGCACGCCCTCCGTCCTAAAGTTGGATGGGGCACGCCCTCCGTCCTAAAGTTGGATGGGGCACGCCCTCCTTCCTAAAGTTGGATGGGGCACACCCTCCGTCCACGGGCCTAAAGTTGGATGGGGCACACCCTCCGTCCACGGGCCTAAAGTTGGATGGGGCACACCCTCCGTCCACGGGCCTAAAGTTGGATGGGGCACACCCTCCGTCCACGGGCCTAAAGTTGGATGGGCACACCCTCCGTCCACGGGCCTAAAGTTGGATGGGGCACGATCTCCGTCCACGGGCCTAAAGTTGGATGGGGCACGCCCTCCGTCCACGGGCCTAAAGTTGGATGGGGCACGCCCTCCTTCCTAAAGTTGGATGGGGCACGCCCTCCTTCCTAAAGTTGGATGGGGCACACCCTCCGTCCACGGGCCTAAAGTTGGATGGGCACACCCTCCATCCACGGGCCTAAAGTTGGATGGGGCACACCCTCCGTCCACGGGCCTAAAGTTGGATGGGGCACACCCTCCGTCCACGGGCCTAAAGTTGGATGGGGCACACCCTCCGTCCACGGGCCTAAAGTTGGATGGGCACACCCTCCGTCCACGGGCCTAAAGTTGGATGGGGCACACCCTCCGTCCTAAAGTTGGATGGGGCACGCCCTCCGTCCACGGGCCCAGGTACCGAACTCGTACTACCCGGGGTCTAGAGCTTGACCCACAGGCACTGACTCACCTGACAAACTTCATGCAGGCACTGAGGCAGGATAGCGCCCAGAGTGTTCTTCAGGTAGACCACACTCTCCTTACTCTCCACTTCTACCTCAACATCACCTGAAAGGGTTAGATGTCATGTCAATACATCAGTAATAATTGAAGTGGTATTAGATGTCATGTGTCATTTAGTGGTACTATTGCTGCGATAATAGCACTGACATTAAGAGATGTCATTAGTCAGTAATAATTGAAGTTGTATTAGATGTCATATTACTATTGCTGCGATAATGGTACTGAAATAAAGAGATGTCATATGTCATTAGATCAGTAATAATTGAAGTTGTGTTAGATGTCATATGACATTTAGTGCTACTATTGATGCGATAATAGTACTGAAATTAAGAGATGTCATATGTCATTAGCTCAGTAATAATTGAACTGTTATTAGATGTCATATGTCATTTTATAACACTAATCATGAAATAAAAAAAAATATTCTACTTGCTTTAAGGAATGTCGAATTTCTAGTCATTGTTCTGACAATAAGAGATGTCAGATGTCATTAATTCACTAATAATTGAATGATATTACACAATATATGACATTTCATGTTGCTGCTTTTGAAATAATCGTTGTGGCGTTAAGAACTGTCATATTTCATGTCATTTACTGGCCTTAATGAATGTAAATTGTCATATCATTTCATCAGTATTAATTGAACTGATATTCACTGCAGTCATACATCACATCATCTTAATTATCCTTGAAATAAATGTACATAGGTTAAATGATGTCATATTTTTTAATGTCATAACATGTAATTATTAAACTGGGATTAAGTGACGTCATGTCATGTCACTACTCCTGTCATGTCAGCTCGCCACATATGAAATAAATGTACATTGTCGTACTTGAAGGGAGACGAGAACTTTTTTTTTCTAATATCACACACGTTTGAATGCTAGCCTGTTTGGTTCTTCTTTGGGATCATCCATAAATGACGTCACACTCGTAGGGGGAGGGGGGGTCCGTAATTTTGTGACGATGTGTGATGAGGGGGAGGGGGGGGGGGGGGTTCAGATGTTTCGACGTCACATTTTTGCATTGAAAAAAAAGAAATCTTAGAAATCGAATTTTAGACGTTATTTCGCGTTTTAGATAACCGTTTTAATAAATTGTAATAGTTTAGACAAGATTTTGGAAAAATATCGATGTTTAAAAAAAATTTAACTTCAATTTTTGAGGGGGGGGTTGTAGGTTGAGGTGTGACGTCATTTTAGGGGGGGGGGTCTGGCTTTTTGTGACGACGTGTGACGGAGGGGAGGGGGGGAGGTAAAAATCGCTTAAAAAAGCGTGACGTCATTTATGGATGACCCCTTTGGCTGCAAGCATCACGTTTAAATGATGATGAGAGAGGTGCGATGGTGGCGTGGAGGGACACAAATCCATACAAGCAGACGTGTGAAATAATCCAACCCCCCCCCCATTTATTTTTTTTACTGACAGCGATTCGTGTCTGTTAATTTAATAACGACAGATAACTCTAGCGTGACTGTAGCAAGGGATATAACTCTAAACTTTTTACTCACCCTTTGCCATCTGAGCTTTACTTTTATCTTTCTTCGTCTTTTTCTTGGAGTCGGCGCTCGCCATCTTTAATCAGGTTCGGTACCTGGCGATTACATTTTTTTTAAAAAGATTTTAATTTGAACTATAGACCAACAGCTGGACCTCTATAATAGGGCTGGTAAGTAGGTCACAAACTACGGCTCAATAAAACCTGCGTAAGCCCTAGAACTGGTTGATGACCTACTTACCAGCCCTATTCTTTATTGGCGTCGCCCATCAAGTTAAGCTATTACAGGAAAGTAATGAATAACAATCCTCATACCGGACCGGTCTATATAGTGTCCAGATTTTCTTCCAGCTCCGCCCCCCCCCCCCCCCCGAAGAAAGTCTACCGCCCCCCGAACGAAATGAACTTTATATAGAAAATATATACTTTTAACAGTGTCCGCCCCCTCCCCCCATAAAAAAATTTCAAGTGCCCCCGCCCGGAGAAAAAAGTCTGGAAGAAACACTTATAGTGTCTAGTCTATGCTGACGATGCAGCTAATGGAAAAGTATAACCCTAACATTAACGATACGAGATATTCAGAATATTTTACATCAATTTTGCTATTAAATTGATCAAGTACATATTTGCTAATCTTGCATTCTAATATTATTGCATTAAAGTAGTTGGGACAAAATCGAAACTTTTTGTTTTTTGATTATTTAAAAGTATTTTTGACAAAATTATATTATTAGTTTGAGTATACAATTTCAAGAAGCCTGAATTTTAAAAATATAAACCTCCTATAGAGTTTAATCAATTTTATATAATTAATAGTAAAGTAATAACGTAAATAAAAACAAACAAGTAATCTACGGGAATTACCGACTGATTATATGTTTACGCAGTGGCGTAGAGAGGTCGGGTGTCACCCGGTGCGGCACTTAATGGTGTCACCCCCACCCCCCAAGAGGCGTAGCTGCCCTTCCCCGGGACAAACTTTCAAATTTTCGATTGCACCCCCCTCAAACTTTCGATTTACACCCCCCATCCCTTCAAACTTTCGATTTGCACCCCCCCTCTCAAGTTTTTCTCTATATATTTTGCTATTTTTTGCCTTGGTGTCACCCCCCCCCCCCCCCCCTAAATGGTGTCACCCGATGCGGTCCGCACCCCCCCCAGCCCCCCCCCTCGCTACGCCTCTGTGTTTACGTGTATTTGCTATGAGCAGGGTTCCCCTGTACAGCATCGAATTGCTCAATGCGTTGAGATCATTCCTTGAAATGTTACAAATATTAAACACAAAAATCTTTTCCCTCTGATTCCACCGCATGGGCTTATCAAGGTTTAAATTGAATAAATACTGATCACTAAGACGGTATACCCACCATTACTGTAAACCCACTTTGACTATACACCCATTATAACTTACTATGACTATGTACTAATTACAACTATATACCCACAGTAACTACATACAGACTTTTAGTATACATCCACTATAACTGTACATCCACTATGACTATACATCCACTATGTCTATATATCCACTATGACTATACATCCACTGTGACTATACATCCACTATGACTATACATCCACTATGACTATATATCCACTATGACTATACATCCACTGTGAATATACATCCACTATGACTATATATCCACTATGACTATACATCCACTATGACTATACATCCACTGTGACTGTATATCCACTATGACTATATATCCACTAAGACTATACATCCACTATGACTATACATCCACTATGACTGTATATCCACTATGACTATACATCCACTGTGACTGTACATCCACTATGACTGTATATCCACTATGATTATACATCCACTATGACTATATATCCACTATAACTATATATCTACAATGACTGTATATTCACATAACTAAACATCCACTAAGACTATACATCCACTACGACAATACATCCACTACGACAATACATCCACTATTATTAGATCTAGAAGTATATACCCACTATGATTGTACTGCTAGATCTAGATGTATATACCAACTACGATTGTACTGCTAGATCTACCAATGTTCATCTTACACAATGAGTACATTGTTACTTACTTCCTTTCGTTAACGTGCACTTAATAAAGAGTTCTGTATATTTGCATTGCTCACAAAGTTTTAATGTTGTCAACACACGATCAAATACTGAACTTTTGTATACATTAACGTTATTTTATGTAGAATCTATGTAATGATGAATGCAACAACTACAGCTTACAATACACACTGATTCAACATGGGAGTCAATGTGAATGGTGCGCAACTTTACGTTTCTCGCTGGTTTCAAATTGAAAACGATGCGCGTGAATAGAAAAAAAAAACGATCAACTAGAGCCTACAACGCTTACAGTCGGCTCTCCGTCCCTGCTGTTTGTTTCGTTTTCCCCCTTTCTTTTAGAGTTTTCACATTCTGCTAATCAAGGACAACTGACAAATAGATCTACAGGCGCCATGTTTGTTGTGACGAAAACGTCAAGGAAACAAAATGGTGCGGGGAACCATTTGGAATTGATCGGGAATTCCCACTAAAAATAGCAAATTTAAGCTTTGTCTTTTGATTACTGTAGCATGTTGTGTTGCAAAATACATAGAAGAGACAAAAAGTGTATATATATATATATATATATATATATATATATATATATATATATATATATATATATATATATATATATATATATATATATATATATAGGTTTTTTAATATTTGTTTTATTTTATACTTTCAAGTTTTTAAAATATTGTATAGATATTAATGAAGTGTGAAGTTTCATTTTTCGAACCTGACGGTATATGGGGCAAGAAGAGTTTACCTGTTTCTGTGACCTCGGCATGTGAAGGGATAGTGTGGTCAACTCTATGCTCAGTAGCCTTTGCTTTCCCTAACGTGAGAGCTACGGACGTTATACTGACTAGCAGAGTTTCTTCCAGGCATCTGTGCCCCCCCCCCCCCTCCCGAAGAAAGTCTACCACCCCCCCCCCCCCCCCGAACGACATGGAATTTATATAGAAAACATATACTTTTACCAGTGTCCGCTCCCCCCCCCCTCGGAAAATGTTGACCGCTCTCCACCTCCGCCCCCCCCCCCCGAAAATATCAAGTGCCATTTCCCCTCCCCCCTGAGAAAACAAGTTAATAAAAAGTCTAGTGTCAATTTAAGCGCAATTTCCTTATGTTATCCATTACAATTTTAAATCGAGATAAATCATAGCTCCTCCTCCTTCGCCTGCGTCTGGCGCAGTTCGCTGCTAAGCCAGCCAGGTCATATGATTTACCCTCCTTTCCTTCGCCTTCCACTGCATTCTTTGCTATATAGTACTGTAATGTATTATGTATAATGTAATTTTAAATAAAGCGGACGTGTAGTGGGTGTTTAGTTGTCGCGCTTTTAAAATTATTTTTGTGACCAAACGAAAGGATATTTTTGAAAACTTTCTTCGGCAATATTGTTCTAAATCAGTGGTTCCCAACCTTTTTCGAGTGGCGACCCCCTTTTATAAAAATTAAGTGACCCGCGACCCCCATAGAATTAAAAAGCCGAAATGAGTATGGAAATTAATAAGCACTAAAATAACATTTTCTAGTAGACTTTCAATATGAACTACTCTTGTTAACTGTTTTAATACCATGGGTAAAATTGCATACTATTCACTGAAAATTCGCGGTTAATTTTTTTTAAAGTATTTTTTTTTTATTAACGCCAACCTATGTCATTATCATTATCTTAATTTTGTTTTAATCGAAAAATAGTGTTGAAAATCTATGCTCGAAAAGTCAAATAATTTTACGTTTGGGTATGAATGGTGAATACTACACCAAAATTGAGTGTGCAGTTTTTTATCTTACGCGGAATCATTCTACAAATCAAAGAATTCATCTTGTAATTCATTGTGAATGCTGGCAACATCGAGGGAAGAAGAGAATGGATAATACGTCAATGCAGATACTTTTTTTTTCAGCTCAGAGAAATAGCGCTGTAGTTTGTTTTCACTTGATTCAAGATGCCCAGAAATTTCTTCTTTCAAAATTTTAATTATCTCACAATTAGATTCATCTACCACACTGCAGAGTTTCTCAAATTTACAATATATCCAAGATTTATTTTCTTCGCCAATTTTGCAGCTTTGATAAAAATGCCCCGAGATTATCATGGAAAGTGATAATATTCGTTCATTTTCCCTGAAGCTTCAGGTTATGCTTATGTTGATGTTCGAACACATCTGCTAGGTATGATACTCTCTCCAACCACTCTATGTCGTTTTAAGTATACTAAAAGGTCTTGTTTCCTTTGCATTTCCAAGAACAATTTGATTTCAGATTTCAATTCAAAAACACGATTCACAACAATTCGTTTGACAGCCAGCGCACTGTAGTGTAGAAGAGAAGAACCTCGTGATCTGTATTCATGTCTTTGCTCAGTTCTTTGAAGGCTCCAGATTTTATATTATTTACCACTTATACCAGCAATGGAGTCTTGATGGCGATTGGTGAGGGGAGTGGTTAGGGAGCTAAATCTTTTCTGCTTTCTGAAAGCCCGATTTTGACCTAAACGTAGATGGTGCACCACCCGTACAAACCCTCACAGCCGTTTTAACCCATTTTAATCATCCAATTAAAAAAAAAACTATTTATTTTCTCCATGCTATCTTCACAAAAGAGCAACTCTTCTTTGCTATCATCTGAATGAATAAAGACAAAGACCAGCAACTGCGAACACGAACTCTAGTCTGTTGATTTATCAACTTGAAAAGCAAACAATGTTGAAAGCTTAATTTCAATAAAAATGTGTTATTTAACATCTACGGCATGTAAGAATTAACTTCACCATCTTCAACATGCAGCGTTTGATGAGATTTTCTCCTATTGTGTTTGTTTTTGCTTGGCATTTTCTGTCGCGACTTCATGTGATGTTTGCACTAATGCTGTGTTTCCTTGGTGAAAACTTCCTGTTCGATCAAGTCTCTGACGTTTGCAACTACCTTCATACCGACGAAAGAACTCCATATCTTTTTTAGTGTGTTTCGAATGACTCGTCTTAAATGACGTTTTAGTTTTGAATTTTCATAAACTCGTGACTGAAAACAACTTTGTACACTACGCATTGCTTCTTCTCTATTCCCTTTCCAGTGATGTTAGTAAAGCCGAATTTCAAAAATTCTTCTAAATATTTATGTTTTGTTTCAAATTACTAAGGTTTAGTATACCAGTTGGCGACCCCCCAGAGAACCCTTCGCGACCCCCAGGGGGGTCGCGACCCCCAGGTTGGGAACCCGTGTTCTAAATTATCGCAGGAATCGATGGTAAATGTTTCAAGTCGCTAAGTGGTCTGGTTGCCGAGATATGGGCCAAAAACTGCATTTTTTCGAGGTTTTTTGGCTTTTCCGGGAAATCCAGGAAGGAATTCCGGGAATTTTTTTGGCCTACAATCATCCTCGGAACTTGCTTAACATATTTGCTTTTGAAACTAGTCCTCGATATTGTTTCGTTGAGGAGGAGATACGACTTAAAGACGACTTAAAGCTGCGGACACACATCCATCCATCCATTCCCAGAAATGACGAGTTAATAAACGCAATTCTCCAGAATGGAAATTGCGCTAAAAAGTCTGGAAGAAGCACTGCTGACTCGAACCCAGTATCGAACTAAAGACTCTCGGGTAAGCAGTCTTGCGTTGATTTATCAAACACAGAGCCCTTTGAAAACGGAGGTTAAACAACAAGAGTGCTTCAATTTCAAGTTGATATCAAGATATAATGTCGAACTATGCATGGCCAAATTAAAAACCGATGTTTTCGAGTTTGTTTATTGGGTTGGGGGAGCTCTTTTTTCTATTCTTTCTTTTTTCCCTCAGACGTGTAATTTACAGCGTCATTTTGCCTTGCATGTTCGCTTTAGTATTACAGTTTTCATCATCGGCTTGTGAGGACTAATACTGATTTAAAATAGTAATATTTCATTCTTACTTGTAGCCCAATTTCATTCATTTAAGATGATTGGGGAAGCTATAAAGCTTCCCTCTAGATACATTTCCATTCGAAAAGGGTTTGGTTAATTGGTATACAACAATTACTCAAAAAATTGATTTTAATGACTTTGATGTGTTCAAATTGTCTGGTATTATAAATTTGAATAAAATGTAATATTTTATTTTTAAACTAACAAATTTAATTTTTAATTTTTATATAGCTGACAAAAAGCATATGTTAGCTAAAACGGAGATAGAGTTTGGTTATTATGTAATATGGTAGGTAAATCTTATGTTATTCGGATATTTTTTATTTTGTGAATGACTACATTTTATTATGAGAGGATAAATGCGTTAGAGAGTATCAAATATTATCATGAGAATAAGGGAGCATTCATTTTCGTGTTAGAAAAGTAAAAAAAAATTTATAACAAACGTTTAAAACAAGCTTTTATATAATTATGCACTAAATAGAATAAAAATTGATTTTTAATAAAATATATAACAATGTAAGATAAGCGTTGGCCTCTTCTTAAAATTGTGGAATAGGTATTCAATAAATAATTTAGTGACAAATCCTTTTCTTTATAGTTTTCGACATTTTAATTCCATGAATGTAATATGATTACTTATTATAAAACAACATCAACATTTATAATAAAACAATACTAAGAAAAGCTTTATACGCATTCGTCTTCTGATTATCATATTTTACAAAATTCAAATTTTCAGAAACACAATCGATAGTTACAAACACAAACACACACACACACACACACACACACATACCACACACACACACACCACACACACTACACACACCACACACACACACTCACACACAATAACCCGACTGCAACCACTGATTTGACAGCATGTCATGTAGTTGATGGGTCCTGGCATTGTCATTGGGCGGTCGATAATTGATTTTAGTTCACGTGTGTGATTGTTTGATAAGATTAGATTCTGTCACAATTCACGTGTGTGATTGTTGGATAAAACTAGCTTTGTCACAATTTACGTGTGTGGTTGTTTGATAAGACTAGACTCTGTCACAATTCACGTGTGTGATTGTTTGATAAAGCTAGAGGCTGTCACAATTCACGTGTGTGATTGTTTGATAAGACTAGCTTTGTCACAATTTACGTGTGTTGTTGTTTGATAAGAGTAGATTCTGTCACAATTCACGTGTGTGGTTGTTTGATAAGACTAGAATCTGTCACAATTCACGTGTGTGATTGTTTGATAAGACTAGCTTTGTCACAATTTACGTGTGTGGTTGTTTGATAAGACTAGATTCTGTCACAATTCACGTGTTTTGTTGTTTGATAAGACTAGCTTTGTCACAATTTACGTGTGTTGTTGTTTGATAAGACTAGATTCTGTCACAATTCACGTGTGTGGTTGTTTGATAAGACTAGAATCTGTCACAATTAAAGTGTGTGATTGTTTGATAAGACTAGCTTTGTCACAATTTACGTGTGTGGTTGTTTGATAAGACTAGATTCTGTCACAATTCACGTGTTTTGTTGTTTGATAAGACTAGATTTGTCACAATTTACGTGTGTGGTTGTTTGATAAGACTTGATTCTGTCTCAATTCACGAATGTGGTGGTTTCTAATAAAAAGTTTTTTTTTAATGTTTTAATAACCAGCTTTTATTTAATAAAAAAAAAATAAATAAATGATTTTCTTTAAATTTATAATTATGAACTACTATTTTAATAGCTGAAAAAAAGTGTTGGTCACTATATTAAGTATTTTTTTCTCTATATTAAGTATTGAATACCTTTACTAGAATTTAAGAAGCGACCCACGTTTTTAGTTTTTAGTAATTGAAATAGTATTTTATTATTATATAAATAAAGAACATTATTTATTTTCTAGTTTTTTTTTCATGTTTACATAACTAGCCATAAACGTATCTGTAAAGCACCGTGGCTTTGTGTTTATAAGCTTTTTTTTAACTTCTTAGACATTTTTCTCCAATGCTTATCGTTCGTCTATATGTGAGATGGCATTACTAATAATATATTAAACATTAAATAATTCGTTTGACATTCAATATAATTTTTAAAAACTAAGTTCCATGACATTGTATCGCCGCACAGTATATAGGGGAGATAATATAGGGGAGATAATTGTCTAATCATTTCTAAAAATAGCTAAAAATAAAAGAGATTTTGACACAAATAAAACAAAAAAAAAATATTCAAAAGAAAAATATAAAGTCAATAAATATACAATGTTTTTATTTTGACTGTCCAGAAAAACTTTTTACTTTAAATTGATTTATTGAATTAAAAAACCCTTAGCTTCTTTACGCATCTAATTTGTTTAGACTCAGAAGGTTTTTACTTTCTCGTATATACGTAGTATAGAGAAAGTATTGTAATCGTGCAAAAAAAAAAAAAAATCGAGATTTTTACAAATCTCGACGTTTTACACCTCACTGATACGGAAAAACATAATTTTGCAATCTTGTCCGTATGTCTGTGTGTGTGTGTGTCTGTGTGTAAACACGATAACTTGAGTACCGTTACAGCTAGGTTGATGAAATTTCATATATAAGTATTTTATCAAAATCGTAGATCCGTATCAACTTTTGAGCGATTTCCGATAACCGGAAGTGGTACTTTTCCTACTTTGAATTTTTCAAAAGCCTATAACTTGAGTACTATTTCAGATAGATAAATGAAATTTCACATGTAAGTAAAAGATCTAATTTTCTACCTTCTGTTAAATTTTGAGTAATTTCCGTTGACTGGAAGTAGTAATTTACGCTACTTCCGATTTCTCAAAAAACTAATGTAAATTTTTAAAGTACTAATAATATTGCGCACTATTATACGCGTTTTTATTCGGCGTTTGCTTGGTGCGCAATGTTTTTTTTATGAGATTCTATTCTATTTTTAAAAGTTTAAGTATTTACAATGGATTAAAAATCATAACTATATCCCCAGTTACCATCCCCTGTAGTTTTATATAAGAATATTCGAGAAAGTTTAGGGGAGATCACTACCGGTTTATTTAATAAGGTGGCCTTAATATAACTAACATTTACCGGCTACCAAGTAACTATATAAAAAAAAAAAAAAAAAAAAAAAAAAAAATTAAATCTATATGATTAAAATAATGTAAGGAGAAATAAATACGTTTTATAGAAAGTTTACATTTCAATTCTTAATGGTTACAAAATAGACGGGTATAGTATTGTATTATATCATAAAGTTTATTGGTCCAATGTCTTCAAAACATTTTTTTAAAATCCATAGCAAATTCTTGTCCAAGCGATTGTTTTTTGATGGATGAGCGGTTTTTGTTTGTTTGTAATAAATCATTAAAATAATTACATTGTTTTTACTGGTAAGTGTAGATCAGTACAATTGGATCGTTAAACTTTCAATTCGTTTGACCAAGTTAACCATTTTATTTTTAACATACTGTCATATTTTGTAAATAAATTGTCAACATTGTGCATTTTTAAAAATTTAAGAAAAAAAGATCTTTTTGTCTATAAAAACTGAGGATGGGGAAAAAGAGAATTAAGCCGTCGAAAGTAACGGAGTCGCATCCCCTGATTCTTATTTTTAGTCTAGGTTTTACACCATTTTACTTTCTCCAAGTAACTAGCACAATCACTTTACTATCAGGCCTTTGAAACTGTATACAACTACAAAATAAAAGAATTATTAATTTTTTACGTTTAAAAGCGTTGGAAGACTGATAAGGATATCGAAGTGTCTACTCGGAATAAGATTTTTCGGCAAAGGATAGTTCTGCGCATGCGCAGTGACCTGGATATCTGACATAATGTCGCTTTTCTCTCACAAAATGGGATATATAATGTCGCTATCCTTGTACAATATGGGATAAATTATGTCTTTTTTCCCACAAAATGGGATTAATTATGTCTTTTTTCTCACGCAAAATGGGATGTATTATGTCGTTTTTCTGCCATAAAGTGAAATATATTATGTCTTTTTCTCTCATAAAATGAGATATATTATGTCAGTACAAAATAAGAAGAAATACTGCCTGTAACCTCTAACCCCGCAGTATAAATACCCGTACGTTGCTGTTTACAAGAAAAGATCACAGAGACAAATCTTGCAAGTACTGGTTCATGTAAAGTCCTAACTGAGGACTCGACACCAATAAGACACATTAAAGTTTACTTACGTATCTCACCTGTCTTTATCCTAATCAGGTACAGCTTCCATACAATGTCACGTGATGTGTTTAATTAATTAGTTAGGTGGGCGTGAACAGCAGATAGGAAAAAATATGGACAACTTAGTGGGGGGTGTCTTGTGTACTAAAGCAGGTACTAAAGCAAGTACTACACCAGGTACTACAGCAGGTACTACATCAGGTACTACATCAAGTACTACATCAGGTACTACATCAGGTACTACATAAAGTACTACATCAGGTACTACAGCAGGTACTACAGCAGGTACTACACCAGGTACTACACTAGGTACTACATCAAGTACTACATCAGGTACTACAGCAGGTACTACATCAGGTACTACATCAGGTACTACATCTGGTACTACATCAGGTACTACATCAGGTACTACACTAGGTACTACATCAAGTACTACAGCAGGTACTGCATCAGGTACTACATCAGGTACTACACTAGGTACTACAGCAGGTACTACATCAGGTACTACAGCAGTTTCTACAGCAGGTACTACATCAGGTACTACATCAGGTACTACAGTAGGTACTACACCAGGTACAACACAAGGTACTATAGTAGGTACTACAGCAGGTACTACAGCAGGTACTACAGTAGGTACTACACCAGGTACTACAGCAGGTACTATAGCAGGTACTACAGCAGGTACTACAGCAGGTACTACAGCAGGTACTACAGCAGGTACTACATCAGGTACTACAGTAGGTACTACACCAGGTACTACAGCAGGTACTACAGCAGGTACTACAGCAGGTACTACAGCACTACTACAGCAGGTACTACAGTAGGTACTACACCAGGTACTACAGCAGGTACTACAGCAGGTACTACAGCAGGTACTACAGTAGGTACTACATCAGGTACAACACAAGATACTATAGCAGGTACTACAGCAGGTACTACACCAGGTACTACAGCAGGTACTACAGCAGGTACTACACCAGGTACTACAGTAGGTACTAGATCAGGTACTACATCAGGTATCACGCCAGGTACTACATCAGGTACTACATCAGGTACTACAGTAGGTACTAGATCAGGTACAACACAAGATACTATAGCAGGTACTACAGCAGGTACTACAGCAGGTAGTACAACATGTACTACACTAGGTACTAAACCAGGTACTACATCAGGTACTACATCAGGTACTACATCAGGTATTCATCAGGTACTACATCAGGTACTACAGCAGGTAGTACAGCATGTACTACAGCAGGTAGTACAACAGGTACTACATTAGGTACTACATCATGAACTACATCAGGTACTACATTACTACAGTAGGTACTACAGCAGGTACTACAGCAGGTACTACAGCAGGTACTACACCAGGTACTACATTACAACAGTAGGTACTACAACAGGTACTACATCAGGTACTACATTAGGTACTACAACAGGTCCTACAGCAGGTACTACTCAGTTTACTTCTCTAGGTCATACACCAGGTACTTCACAAATAAAAATACCTACAGTCACTATACTAGAATGTTAGACTATTTTAGTATTTTAGCCTAGGTTAGTATGTTAGACCATTGTAGAATTTAAGACCAGTCTAATTTTTTTTTTTGGAGGGCGTCTTACTATCCTGGTATTCTAGATATTTTAAACGGGCTTACATTGTTTTACTTTTACACATATTTAATGCATTTTCATTTTCTATCAATTTTGTGGGAATATTTAATACAATGAGAAGAAAGAAAACGCTGAGATTTAATATATTTTCGTGATATATTTTATTTTGTTAATTTTTTTAAGCTTCATCTTTTGTTTTCAAAACATATGATTTATTATGTTAAAGAAGATATTTTAATCAAAGTAAAATTACTTAAATACCCATAACTAGACCTAAATATTAATAGTTTAAATAAATTTGAACTTCGATGTTGAAACTTTCTTGGACAAAACGCAGCAATATTTTATGATTTTGTAAAGGATTCCAAATTATTTAAAACATTTCAAGTACCTAAAACATTCCAATACATTTTAACTCGAATCATCAGGTATGAAATAAATTTCATCAAGCATGAAAGTGGTCTTGATGTTTTACTGTACATTTTTATACTATATTCAGACCAATCCTATTACTTTATCAATTGTTATTTGATTCCTTAATCATTGAAGTTGATCTTGATTGAAAGGACAGCCAACACAGCGGCTATGCCAACGATGTTAGTTCCTGTGGATTGTGTATATATTAGCACGGTGATATATCACAAACGTTATAACATAACATCATCATTCATACGCTTGATTGGGATATTTCTAATCAAACATATATGTCAGAATGCAAAAAAATATATTTATATAATGTCTTCTGTAGGGGATACGCAAGAGTATTCCAAAAAAAAAAAAAACAACAAAAAACAACAACCTAGTAATGTCGAATTGGTTTTAAGTTTTAACGCAACTTTTAATGAATAACACATTTTGATTTCTAGCCAGTCACCAATACCTTTGTTCTATCTATTTTTATATCAATAACAGAACACTCTAGCATCTTGCATCCATAATGTCTTTAAATTGACACGAGTATCGTGATACTAATTAGCTAAACATCATTACCCCCCCCCCACCCCAGAGGTCAGCAGTATTGTGACAATAATTAAACATTTATATACCCCCCCTCCAACAAGTTATTAGTACGGTGACGCTAATTAACTAAACATAATTACCCCCCCCCCCCCCACACACACACGAATCATCAGTATCGTGAGACTAAATAAACATGTATATCCCCCAACAAGTTATTAGTACGGTGACGCTAATTAACCAAACATCATTACCCCCACCCTCCCCACCCCAAAAGTCATCAGCATCCTTAAACTAACTAAACACCATTACCCCCACCCCACATTGAAAGCGCTCTTTTTAAAGAGAAAATAAGAAATAAACTTTGAATACGGAAGTTACACAACGAGTCATAACGTAACTTCAATTTAGTTTTATAAATTTAAAATTTAAATTTTAACTTAACTGTGGCAACGGATAAACCAAGTGATTGTGCTCGCTATGTTTATACCAAACACGCAGAAATTTAACATACAATTGGTTTGGCCGTTTAAAGTATCTACTTGTGTTAAGATGGTAGTATTTTGACCATACCTGCGTGTGCTAGACTGCATCCATTTGTTGAGAACATGGATTGAAAGTTGGCTGTTTCAAAATAGAAATGGGATATGACAAAAACTAATACATACAAATAAATCATAATTGGGAGTTAAGAAAATTTAACACTAAAGTAATCTGGCTTCGTTTGATGCTTCAATTTTAAATCTAGAAATCTAAGAGTCTTAAAATAATTAATTCTGGTTTGATAGACGTGATTATCGCAGATGCAGCGTATCACAATTTTAAATTCATTACCACCAAACATTTTAATTAATTAGGCGTTCTTTTAATGGTTTAATACTATCTATATAACGTGCAATTTGTCATGGTTTTCCTTAAGCTTTTCGATTCAGATATCACAAAGCTGCAGAGGCGTAGCTAGGGGGGGGCGGGGGGGGGGGGGGCGGCCGCCCCGGGCGCCGACCCTATGGGGGCGCCAAAAGGGGTGGGAAAAATTTTTTAAAGCTGATTTTATGCTGCAGTTTTGAATTATAAACTGTCTAAGTTAAGAAATGTAATGGCTACACGCATTTACATACTGATTTAACTGTTTTCTATCTTGATTTCTTAATGTAAAACATATACTCTTAAGAAACAGTGACCGGCAAAACCGCTTTGAAGCTTTTCCTAGATGGGGGGGGGGGGGGCGCTTTTTCGAGACTTAAAACGGAAGAATTTACACTAGATTGTTGAGTCGATAAACGTTACCACTATTAAAAGAAACCAATTGTATTAAAACGTATTGTACGATTGTTGAACTGTAAAATACGTTAGTGACTTTTATCAAGATGGTGCAGGGGGGCGCTTTTAGGCTAAATAAAATAGCAAAATTACACAGGATTCTGAGTAAACAACCTTTAGCTCTCAGAAAGAAACGAATTGTACTGTGCATTGTATAATTGTGTAACATTTTTAAAAAAAAAGTTAGTTACGTTAAAAACCGCTCTACAAACTTTGTCCAAGATGGTTGTGATGAGTGTGTGTGGGGGTGGGGGGGGGGGGCGCTTTTTTCGCTAACAAAAATCGCAAGTATTTGTACTGGATTGGTGAGTAGATAACTCTCTTAACACTTAGTAAAGAAACCAAGTGTATTAACGCGTAATGTACAATTTCAATAGCCAGTTTTGTTTAAAAAAAAGACGCGACTAGTTCTTTGTAAGATTCTTACGATTCTCTCAACTTCAACGTGAGAGATCAGATAATTTGATCAGTGTTTCTTCCAGACTTTTTTCTCCGGGGGGGCACTTGAAATCTTCGGGGGGGAGGGGGGAGGCGGTAAACTTTCTTCGGGGGGGGGGGGGCGGACACTGTTAAAAGTATATATTTTCTATATATAAATTATATAAATTTCATTTCGTTCGGGGGGGCGTAAAAATTTTTCCGGGGGGCTTCGCCCCCCCCGAAAAGATGCCTGGAAGAAACTGTGTGCGAGAAGGCAGGGCATATCTGCGAAATCCAAGACTACGAGCTGTTAACATCCGTTGGATTCCAGTTTGTTTTCTCTAGCTTGTTTTGTCATACCATCAACCAATCAACGAAATACCCATGTCGTATTCCAATGTGAACAATAAATATTTCTGATAACTTCTTCTTGTATGTCACTTGTGTGTCCTTACTCTAACAAACTTCGAATCCAACTATGTACCATATCACAACAGAGATCGTTCCAAAACTAGAACATAAAAGGCTGGTCTAAACATATTAGCGTTAGCTACAAACTACCCTCTAACATAGATCAGGCTTATTTTTTTTTTACTGACATTACTAATCTTTCGCAAAAAAAGTTAAACGCATCTTAATGGGAATTAAATTGTCGTAAAGTTTTAAGGAATGAAAATCATACAATGTAATTATTAAACCTTGTCCGGACTGTAGCATACACGCTTACACACACGCTTACACTCACAAATACACTCTTACCCACACACAAGCTTATATATAAACACACTATCACAAACACATAATTATACACACACACACACACACACACACATATATATATATATATATATATATATATATATATATATATATATATATATATATATATATATATATATATATATATATATATAAAAGCGGGGGAGGGGGGGGCGCCAAATTGAAAGTTCGCCCCGGGCGCCGGGAAGGGTCGCTACGCCTCTGCAAAGCTGAAGCCGAAAATTCAATAAAAAATATCATGCAGTACACTCTAGTTACTAAATTTCATTTTCTTCACTTTCCTCACTTTACTTTCCTTACTTTCTTTTCCTCACTTTCCTTTCTTCACTTTCCTAACTTTCCTCACTTTCCATACTTTCACCACCAAGCCATTTAAAAAAACAACAACCTCTTCAAAGTCTACGTATCCCGAATTTTACTCGTAGTATATCAAAACAAAATATTTCTCGACCAACGCCTCTTAATTTACAAATCTCTGGTTTATCGATGTCTGGCAGTATCTTAATCTTACCTGGCTTGATTCTGGAGTCGAATTCATTACTACACTGGTAGTATCGATCCTCCATATCCGGGTCGACATCGACATACAGACCCCTGGTGTGAAGACCCCCGTACACGGCCAGCTTATACACCGACGCCTTCGTGGGGGTGAAGTTGACGGTGATGGTGTCATAATCGTTGCCTCCTGTGCAGTTGCAGTTTGTTCGACGATTGTTGCACGTGTCACAGGGGTAGGTGTAGAAAATACAAAGCTGGAAATTGTTTACGTTTTTAAGCTAATATATATATATATATATATATATATATATATATATATATATATATATATATATATATATATATATATATACATTCGTAGAATATCAATATATGGAAGGGAGGGATAGTACAAAGGAAAAATACGGATGTAGCGGGAGGTAATTCAGTGAACGAGCGCAATGACTTGATAGAGAGTTGAGGAACTTGGAACCGTTTATCTTGATTGTCTGATGTGATAAAATGTCGCTTGTGTGGGATCCTATCACCACACAACCACCACACATAGGCCATCACAACAACACAACCACCACACATAGGCCATCACAACCACCACAACCACCACACAACCTCCACAACACTCTCAGCATTAGTCGACCGATCACATAACCGATTATTTTGATGACATATACAAAATAACGTTAAGCTATAAATAGATTGATGGAAAAAACGGACGCAAAGATAGAGATACAGATAACGTACTTCATGTTTTAAGGTTTTTTTTATACACAAATATTTACGTGATGTATACAAAATTAATGCATTTTATTTAATTACAAATTTGAACGCGTTAAGTCTACAAAAATGTTCATATAAATTCTAGATCTATATATATATATATATATATATATATATATATATATATATATATATATATATATATATATATATATATATATAAATATATATATATATCTATATATCTATCTATCTATATCTATATCTATCTATCTATCTATCTATCTATCTATCTATCTATCTATCTATCTATCTATCTATCTATCTATATATATATATATATATATATATATATATATATATATATATATATATATAAATATATATATCTATATCTATCTATCTATCTATCTATATATATATATATATATATATATATATATATATATATATATATATATATATATATATATATCTAGGGTATGGATATTTACTAAGATAAAGCGGTTCTTTCAAGTATAGTTTTAGTATAGCAATCATAAATATTCAACACCTACAATCTTTACCGCCACTCACAACTAGCTCAAAAACTACAAACATCTAGAATTCCTCACATAAATCGAATCATATCAAGTTTACCCCCCTTCCCCGAACGAAATATAATTTTTTATAGAGAATATTATTATATACTTAGTCCCCCCTGAAAATGTATCCCCCCCCTACAGGAGAAAAAAATTCTGAAAGAAACACTGATTATATAACAAAACAACACACAATATTTCCGTTGGTCGGAATGAACCTACCGGTGGCCATAAATTATTACTGATTTTAAAGCGAACCATGTAGAAAACACAGGACTGGGGCTGCGGACGTTCAAACCCAAAAGCTTTGATACTTCCAGTAATTCTTCCAGTGTAGCGGCAATTAGAAGCTTCACATTCTTTTTCCCATCCGTGTATGATAGGCTCAAATCTTGGATGGCGGCTCAGGTCACCTTACAATAGAAACAAGAAATGGTGTCAATGTTGAATTACGTATTTTAATTTATTTTAAGCTCTTTTACCAAACATGTTTAAGGTATGAGATTTATGAGTACAGAGTATTTATAGAATAGATCTATTAAACGTCAGACGGGGGTTGATTCGTCTCACACAGTTTGTATGTGCTCGACGTGTTTGTTTTTTGAAGTTATTTGAATAGGAATACAGATAGTACTTTGAATACGAATACAGATAGTACTTTCAACACAAATACAGAAAGTACTTTGAATAGGGTGGGACGGAGTGGTCTAGCTGGTAGATAGCTGGATTGCTAACCAGTATGTCTCGAGTACGAACCCGGTTCAAGTCAGTAGACCGTCCCTTAGTCCACCCGACTCTGATGGGTACCTAACTGACGTTAGGGAAAGTAAAGGCGGCTGGGCATAGTGCTGACCACACTATCTCTTTATATGCAGAGGTCACAGATACAAGTGAACTCTACTTCACTTGCCCTATAGACCGTCAGGTTTGAAAATGGAATGTTACTTTACTTTGAATACGAATCATTATTGTTATTGTTAGCGTTGTAATCTTTATTATTATTATTGTTATCGTAGTCATTCTCATAGTAGTCGTTATTATTATCTTCATATTCTTCATTATATTTTTATTATAATTATAATTATTAATTAACATTATTATTATTGTTATCGTAGTCATTCTCATAGTAGTCGTTATTATTATCATCATCATCTTCATTATATTTATATTATAATTATTAATTTACATTATTATTATTGTTATTATTTAACGTGCAGCTAGCAGGTTTAAAGAAGAAGCGAGATGTGTTTTTCTGATTTTCTTTTGATTTTAACTCCCTTGTAAATTGAATCTTGTTATCTCCCTTGTAAACTGAATCAGTTGAACACACTACAATTGAAAACGTGCGCTGTTCCTCCACCTAAGCTGGGGTTGTGTCAAAGTGTAAAGTATGCAGTGAGTGATTCAGGTGTACAACTCACCTGTTCTTTGACCGTTGCATGGCATCGTCTTCATGTCGTTTTGTTGAGGACGGAAGCCAGCGACTGTAAGAGATAAAGTCCCAGGTTTCGATGGAGGATAAAGTCAATAGCTAATATCAAAAGATTAAGTTCCAGGTTTTGGTAAGATTTGTAGGAAAGTTTTTATTGATAGTTTAATTGGTGATAAAATATTTTTAAATCTTATTGTAATCATGGTAATTTAAATGTAGGAATATGTATTTTTTAAGATTACATTTTACTTAAATTGATGTACATACAATGGTAATGAGTAGGATTCATCTTGAAAAAAAACAACTATTTTTTTTCGCATACTAACTGCTCTGTTCTTTGAATATGAGTACATATTTTGAGCGAGAGAGAAACAAGTTAAAAACAACTATTTATGTAGTCCTATTATTAAAACATGTAACTACCTATGTATATGCTTGTGTGATGTAAGCACCTATGTATTTGCTTGTGTGATGTAAGCACCTATGTATATGCTTGTGTGATGTAAGCACCTATGTATTTGCTTGTGTGATGTAAGCACCTATGTATTTGCTTGTGTGATGTAAGCACCTATGTATTTGCTTGCGTGATGTAAGTACCTATGTATTTGCTTGTGTGATGCAAGCACCTATGTATATGCTTGTGTGATGTAAGCACCCATGTATTTGCTTGTGTGATGTAAGCACCTATGTATATGCTTGTGTGATGTAAGCACCTATGTATTTGCTTGTGTGATGTAGGCACCTATGTATTTGCTTGTGTGATGTAGGCACCTATGTATTTGCTTGTGTGGTGTAAGCACCTATGTATTTGCTTGTGTGGTGTAAGCACCTATGTATTTGCTTGTGTGATGTAAGCACCTATGTATTTGCTTGTGTGATGTAAGCACCTATGTATTTGCTTGTGTAATGTAAGTACCTATGTATATGCTTGTGTGATGTAAGCACCTATGTATTTGCTTGTGTGATGTAAGCACCTATGTATTTGCTTGTGAGATGTAGGCACCTATGTATTTGCTTGAGTGGTGTAAGCACCTATGTAATTGCTCTCAGTAAAGTGTACAAATGCATGAAACCTGGAACCTACCTGAGAGGTAAACATTGCAGGTACATAAAATCAACAACACCAGAGCTATTTCCATCTTTCTACTTGTTTAGATGTGGACCCTGTAAACAAACATCTGTTTCTAAACAGGCTGAAACATTACGTCACTTGTGTTTAGATATTTGAAAGTGGCAATCACGAAGTTATACTACACAAGTAGCACATGTTGGACACTGATAGGAATTGATTTCTATGACATTTGATTCAAATCAAAGCGCAACGTGACTGTACATAGAGTAACACTAATCTGACCTGACATGACCTGACCTGACCTAGCCTAGCCTAGCCTAGCCTAGCCTAGCCTAGCCTAGCCTAGCCTAGCCTAGCCTAGCCTTGCCTTGCCTAGCCTAACCTAACCTAACCTAACCTAACCTAACCTAACCTAACCTAACCGAACCGAACCTAACCTAACCTAACCGAACCTAACCTAACCGAACCGAACCTAACCTATCCTATCCTAACCTAACCTAACCTAACCTAACCTAACCTAACCTAACCTAACCTAACCTAACCTAACCTAACCTAACCTAACCTAACCTAACCTAACCTAACCTAACCTAACCTAACCTAACCTAACCTAACCTAACATAACCTAGCCTCATCTCAGCTCACCTCAGCTCACCTCACCTCACCTAACCTAACCTCATTTTGTTTTAAGTCATTATCGTATTTCATACCTCGTTCTTTTCTTTTAAGCTGATTTATGGTGACATTACTATTAAATAAAGCATAAAGACTATCTTAATGTTGCTGAATTTTTAAACAAACATCTTTTGAGTGTCGTCTTTTTGGCGTGATCAAAATTGTTGCAGTGTAAAATGGTTTGCTATATTTCCGTATTTCTGTTAAGTGTGCAATATAACTGTGAAATGAAGATATAGGTAGAGGCAATTCATTATTTCATCATACTGTGATATAGATATTTATTCTGTAGGTTTTATGAAATATAAACAGCACGACACAAAGGAAAAAAAACCCAACCTTAAAGGTTATTTACATTAAATTGTTTTGTTTATATTTTACTTTCACAAACGTACATATATTTAAACGTAAAACTCTCTCACACACGCATATATATATATATATATATATATATATATATATATATATATATATATATATATATATATATATATATATATATATATATATATATATATATATATATATATATATATATATATATATATATATATATGCGTGTGTGTGTGTTTATGTGTATGTCTATTTATGTATATAAACACACTCATACGTTTTTAGATTACGGCTTTAGATATGCTTTTTGTTACATTTTTTAGTACTTAAATCTTTCAAAATAGAATAACGTTAAAAAAACAACGCACCAAATGAACGGAAACAGTGTATGCATAATGGAGCGGAAAATTAGTAATGAGTACTCAAGTTATCGTGTTCACAGACCCACAGACATTCACACACACATACACGGACTAAACTGCAAAAAAATGTTTTTCTGACGTGGTGATGCGTGAAGCCTCCAGATTTTGATAAACCTGGATTTAGATTTTGCCGGATTAAAATTATTTCTCTATACTCCGTGTATGATGAAGTACTAAGATGTAAAACTGCGAAAACTGTTGAAATTTGGTTGAAAGTTTTGTGCACTTTTTGCGTACTTCTCATGTTTTCTTTCCACGAAAAAGTAAAAAAAAAAATGTATTACATCAACGTAGAAGAATCAATTACAAAGTATTTGTGTACACGGGGCATACACAAGAAACATGTACACATACACAAACGTATTTGTACAAACAAACAGACGGATCATTATCTATCGATCGGCGTGTGACAAAATCGATATTGCAATTTAATCAAGATCGATCTTTGCATTGTCAAAGAGAGGCTACTGCTTGTTTTATACAATAGAAACTATGGGGTGATTTGTACATATTGATTTGATACACGGATCATATGGTGATTTGTACATATTGATTTGATACACGGATCATATAGTGATTTGTACATATTGATTTGATACACGGAACATGTGTTTGCGAGATAATTGTTTGGAGGGGGGTGGGTGGGTGGGTGCATGGCAGCGGTCTTTAATTGTAATAAATAAATGTACACAAAGTGTGAATTTTCTTTGAACCTGATTGAGTTCACAAGTTTCTGTGACCTCGGCATATGAAGGGATAGTGTGTGATCAGAACGATGCCCAGCCGCCTTTTCTTTCCTGAACATGAGTCAGGTACCCATCAGAGCTGGGTGGACTCAGGGACGTTCTAATGACTTTAACCCAGATTCGAACTCGAAACCATCGGGTTAGCAGCATAGCGCTCTATCGCTAGGCCACGCCGTCCTATTAGTAACTGATACACGCATATAACATACATTTTCAAAGCTCCCCCCCCCCCTTACCTCACGTCCTTCCTACAGATACATTCTAGGGACTTACACCAGTATTCGAAATCGTGACTTATGGCTTATGCTCTATCATTTAACCAGAGCGTCAATACATTGGTATATGTGATAGATCTCTGTTGTTTCTGAGTGGGATGATTGTTTTCACTATTTAAATTTTAAAAATCACTTGCTCTCATTAAACCGATATCACAGTACATTATTCTTATTGTGTTGGTCTATGTCAACAATACTTATTGGTTGGGTTGTTATAGGTTATCATATGTTATTTGACATAATATCGGACGTTGTAGACTAGCTGTCGAGAGCTAGACTGCTAACCCGAAAGTCTCGAGTTCGAATCCGGATTCAAGTCAGTAGTCCCTGAGTTCATCCAGCTCTGATTAGTACCCAACTCAAGTTATGAAAGTAAAGGAGTATTTACAATATCTCTTTCATATGCCGAGCTCTCAAACAGATGAACTCTACTTCATCTGCCCCATGTGTCTTGAGCACGAACGGGAAAAGATGATGATTTGATATAATACACATTTGTTTTATAAACTGGCATAGTATAATATAAAAACAAACGTGTGGGGTCTTTCTTCTTCTTCTTCTTCGTTCTTAATTATTAGTGTTGAAGGGGATCGAGATTTATCTGCCAGACTTTGTTCGAATTTATCAACCATGACCACGCCTCCAACACAATTAAGCGGTACGTGTCAACTGGTTATGCGCCATTGAGGCCATTGACTCCGATTTCAGCCTGCTTTTCTTTTTGTCCATCCAAGAACAAACTACAAGGCAGCAGTTGTTTAATTTTGGAGTTGTCTCTCCTAGAAGAGTGGCTGTCCCCAGCTAACGAGTCTCATCTGCCCGAGGGTTCGAACTCGAGACTTTTCGGGTTAGCAACTATGAGCTTTACCGACTCGACCACGCCAACCCCTACGTGTGGGGTATTTTCTGTCATTTCTTTAGTGTTCTACTTATACATGCTCTGGCACTGATAAGAGCAGATCATTTATTTTATGTCAACACACTTGAACCCACCAGGCATGCATAGATTAAATCAAGAGACAGATCGTTGACAAGAACCAGCACAATTTGAAGATTAGGATAATCTTTGAAGATTAGGATAATCTTTATGACCCCCGCAAGTCAAGGTATTATTTGCTCAGGCTGTTTCTTCATTATGTTTGTAGAAGATAATGCTCGAAGTTATCTACACTACAATAGTAATTGTCAGAGGCGTGGCGAGGCGGGGACGGTGGGGTGGACCACACCAGGTGACACCCGTCCTAGCGACGCCACTGTTTATAGTTGCAATGAGCAGTTTACATTCTCAAATACCATTGCAGCTTTTTGTTTTTCTATTATAAAATTGTATAATGATATATTTTTTATGTAGATATTTTGGATGAAACTTCGAGTATTTTCTTTCATCATTGACGATTGATTTGCAACTGAGTCTTCGCCTATCCCCCCCCCCCCCCCCGCCCATACACCCTCACCAAGCCTCACTGGCCTGTACAGAGCAGGCAGTGCTTCGTCTCACTAAAATGACGTCACGAAATACCGCCACGTCACCATAAATAAAGCTAATTTCAAAAGTTTATGATCATATTTTTTTTTACTATATAATGTGTCTGTATTAGTAACAGAAATATACCACAAATATAAAACTCCACACGTCTGATGTGCACAAGTCAAAAAATGCTTTCCCTCTCTTTCCTGTAGGTACTCTAAGTCATTATTGGTAGATTCCTAACAGGGAGATTTCTTACTGTCTATTGGTAGATTCCTAACAGGGAGATTTCTTACTGTCTATTGGTAGATTCGAAACAGGGAGATTTCTTACTGTCTATTGGTAGATTCCTAACAGGGAGATTTCTTACTGTCTATTGGTAGATTCGAAACAGGGAGATTTCTTACTGTCTATTGGTAGATTCCTAACAGGGAGATTTCTTACTGTCTATTGGTAGATTCCTAACAGGGAGATTTCTTACTGTCTATTGGTAGATTCCTTACAGGGAGATTTCTTACTATCTACCGGTAGATTCCTAAAAGGAAGGTTTCATACTGTTTACTGGAAGATTACCAACTAGAAGATTCCTCACTGCTTAAAAGAAGATTCATAACAGGAATATTTCTTACTGTTTATTTGTTACTGCCATATTAGCTCAATTGATTTCAAAACAAAGTTTTATAAATTTTAGTTCACATGTCCACTATAATTGGGTTTCAAATGGTATAGCCTAACACCCAGGTAATGATTTGACCAAGCTGAAATCAATTTAAAAAAAAAGACATGTAGCATTGTTTCCTGAAAAAGGTTGCGAAATTCGATAATTAACCCTTGCAACGCCGACAAACACCATTAACCCCACCCCACCACCACCACCCCGCTGTGATCTGCGATTGGGTATCGATACAAGCCAATATAACGTGCGCCTGACATGGGCTGAAAAAAAAATAGATTTAATTCTTTCCATTACGGTCCGCGTGTCTTACACAGGTGGGCTGTAGTCGTCTGGTGTTCATGGGCCTGTGCTGGATACAGTTCACGTGAATCTCGCGAGGTTTTATGTGATTTACATTGGGTTTAACTCTTAAGATGATGCTGTGATTTATTGTATTAACCCTTTCGGGGGGTAATCAGTAAGTATGTTAACAATATCTCCGAAATTGTATATCTGATGGTGCTAGTTTTAAATTAGGTCATATTGTCGTGTTAAATATTTTACATTTGATGTTTTTTTTTTCAAAAAAATGCATCATCAGATTCAATTCTTGATAGTTATTACTTATATTTAGTATGGTGAAATTATGTTTCTAAAGATTATAATACGATCTTTTAATGATAATAGGAATACACTCTTTAATAAACAACTAGCAATCGGTACCCGTTACACATTCAAATTTGATTAAAATCTATAGATCTACTTATCCAGACGTACGCTATGAAATATATACATTTTTTTCGGCCAAAAGTAATACAAATTAGCTTAAAAAACAACATAAATACCATTGAGTAGCCGGGTTTTTAACGGAATCATTTAAGTTTCTTAATCAGGGTGTGCATTTAATATGTTGTTGTGTTGACTAATAATGTATATACTTTAGTTTTTCTTATAGGTAACGATAATCTATGTTATTTTAAATGTGTCGGGTTTTTTGCTATTTATTTATTTCTTATTTCTTTTATCATCGTTCAACGTATAGTAAAGCCCATTGCGTTTGGACCAGTAACTATTTTATAAAATATTTTTCTTAAACAAGTGTTACCTTAAAAAAAATATATAGGCCTATAATTCACGTGTAACGGGTACCGATGGCTAGGGCGTATATATATACATAAACACACACACACACACACACACACACACACATATATATATATATATATATATATATATATATATATAT